GTACTATACATAGCAGTGGTTGGCAATTCAATAAGTTTGTTTTTTAATTGTTTTCTGATCATGATAAGGATCATTATAAGGATTGTCACTTTTGTGACTCAACTATACTAATAAAGTAATATTAATAATAATTTAATGCCCCCCTCCCACAACCTATGTAGCACACTCAGCCTTGTCTAACAAGTCTGTGAGGCACGCGGGAGAAAGCAGGCTAATTATCTCATTAACAGTTGCTCTCTTTTTCACAAATTCTCATAAATTCTCGTTGTTTTGAAGAGACATTGCATCTTCAGTGAACATCATAGTCTAGTAAGTGTATAAATAAATACCTAACACTTAAATATCAACTGCTATCAACAATCATCCAAATAGATAACTACAAATAGGTTGTTTTCATGCATTAACACATATGAAAAACAACAATGCAACTTATACACAATACCGACAATAGCTTTGCTTACAAAATAGTTTTGTAACCCTAAAAACTTTTTTAAGAAGTATTTTCTTACCGTAGACCAGTTGGCCATAAGTTGAACATGTTGGAATTGGGCAGAAACTGAAATGTGTGTGTTTTCTACATGGTAAATGGAGGATAAACACGCCAGTAACGACAAACTAACCACCTGTTGTTCCAGTTTGGGTAGAATGTGCACTCAAGTGGGGAGGTAAAAACCCTGAAGCGAAAGTTAGGAACTGGTCTTTCTCACTCTACACAATCTTAGTACTCTACGTAAACAACTGTTTATGGAAATGTTTGTTGTAATTACGGCATTGCTTCAGAAGAGAATTGGAACTCTCCTATGTGATTCTGGAGTTTATGGGAGGTACAAGACAATTGTAGGGCTGGAAATACCACCTGCATATACAGGTTAGTGCAGGTAAAATTGGAGCTGTGCAGGTATTTCTGATGTCTTCTTTCAGTCCATCCATGTGTTGGGCTTATGTATACATGTACCATGCATGTGGATCTTTGCTGCATTGACTATTACAATCAATCTATTACAAGCTATGTAAAACAGGCATATAAGAGAAATAAACTATAATGATAATGGCATCTGGACAGTTGTTGGTATGAACCATACTTCGTAAATTCTGAGTGGTGTAGGTATAGAGAAAAAAGGATTTCGAGCCCTTGAGTACAGTACAGTTATACACATGAGTGCTTACAATGTAGAGGATAATAGATCTGTTATAGAGAGGAAAGCCTGTTACTGTGTTACATTTATAAATGTGACTTATGCGAGGGTAGGTATCTCCTAGCAGATGTTGGGATGAAATGATGGTCACAACATTTTCTCACTGCTGACTGTGCCATCCACATTGTGATGTGTCACCCCAACTTCTGCTTGGAGATAAGACCAACAAGATGTCAAATCTGTATTGATGCATGTACTTTAGGTATGCTAGATGTCTAACTTTCTCACAGACCAGCAAAACATAAACTACCAAATGGTTCTTCCCAGAATCCTCTCCTCTAGTCTAAGACCTTTCACCTCTTGTTGCTAGGCAACACATCTCCACATGAAAAGATAATTGGTCACTTTTAGATTTCTACCCAACAAATACACACAGTCCTGTAAAATTTCACAGGCTGTGCATAATTTACAGATTTAGAGCAAAAACATAAAATTGTCAAGACTGTTGTCACAAACAAATGAAGCTCAACATTACAATAAATTGATGATATTTTATCATGCAAACATGTTTGCCATAAACTTGTTATTCAGTCACTATTTGGACAACCTAGCCTAAGATAATATTTTATCAGTTATTTGTTAGCTAATAATCTTACCTGTATGCATGTTATGACAAGTCCTCATTGTACATACAGTCTGGACATATCTAACCTTCATATTACTAGTACATCTCCGCAAGGCAGTTTGGGAACAGACCATTATCATGATTCATAAGGGGGTTCTCAAAACCCTTCTTACACCGATACCGGAAATAAGAATTTTACAATTACCACCTTCAAGTCAACCATTCATAAACATGAGACAAAAATGTAATAATCAAGAAAAATGCTACAACAGATATACAGGATAATTAAAGTAAAGAAAAAAATATTATTACAAAAAAAATTTAACTGTTCTACCCTGTATAGCTAGTGGTTGCTCCCTAATTATCGGGGTGATGGGTCCCTATTACCTGCCATGGCCACAGGCTGGGTCCTGATGGCATGCATATATTCATGGTGGAAAACCATTACATTCGCATCCAGACTACGGCAGGGTCGTTTCGCAGTCTATATCCCGTAGGGACCGCTTAAAAGCACGTCGCGTTAACGTACGGGACCCTGGCGTGCAGAAAGCACCTGCGTCTGTCACGTGCGACATTGTTTATATTTTGGTGCATCGTACGTTTAAAATGCATGTGATACTGTATAGATACATACTGTAATTCCAAATTTTTTCACTGTACTGTTATGTTCACTGTTTTCACTGTCACTTTTGTACCATGAACTTATCATTACAGTTAGATAATGCATGGGCTTTCTCTTTCCTGCACCTGTCGCCACCGTGACTATATAGTTCCGTGAACATGTCCACTTTTCTTAGGTTAGACTGTGAAATTTTGCTACCGTGAACATAAAGAGAATTACAGTAACAATCTACTCCAAGTATCATTCCAAATCGTAGATAACATGAGCCATCTGTAGTTGCCTGGTAATATACTCAGAGACAATAAACACATAATTCAGGGCTCGAAATTAAAGGTGGTCCAATGGCCACTGACCAATAAAATTTAGGCTGGGACAACTAAAAATACACTTTGGGACATTTCTGGGACAATAGAAAAATAATCAACATCAGAATGCCAGCCCTTCTTTTGTTTATCAGGCACATGTCCCGGCTTTTGGATCCGGAAAAGTCCCTCCAAATTTCCTGTCTACTCTGCAATTATTGTGCGTCTGGGAGTGAACATAAGCAAAATGAAGTTCACTTCAATTTGAAGTCATACAAAACTTAGAAAAAACAGGTTGGGACAGTCTATCCTCACTTCGGGTTCGGGACAATTAAAATTATTTTTGGGACAGTGCTGGGACAATAGGTAGAAAAGTTAATTTTGAGGCCTGTAAATACATAATTACTCACTCGATGAGGGGCCCATTTGTTCTGAGTTTGCATCAGAAGTGCTGTGAACAGCTGGTATACACCACAGTGCTATTGTCACGTTGCCCTTGTTATTCCATGTCAAAATCTGCATTACAAAGGCTTAACACTGAGAAGTGCCACTCCAAAAAGCCCTAAATTCAGTATGTGCTAAGGTACATGCAAGCCTTACCAAATATAGAATACAGTATACTAGTATACATTTTGTAGTGGCATGACCTAACAGTTGAAGTCCATAGGTCAGAAACACTTGAATTAAAAATTATCTTGAATTGATTATGCTGAATGTCAAAACGACTGTTAGCATTACATACATGCCAAAACAGTGTAAAAGGTATTTTATCAAATTGGTCCAACAATACCTAAACCATCAAATCGTATACTATTAATTTTACAACGTTATATTGGTTCTGAATTTCTGTACATACATATACTACACTTATACTAGATAAGAATTTAAATCTGATACATGTTGGATTATACAGTATGCTACTACAGTATTCCTTAAAAAATTAATTTTAGCAAATGTTATAATTTACAATTCAAAGATCAATGCAACATTGACAAAGTTGAATTTTCTTGCATTGACAAAAGAGTTACATAAATTATGAAGACAATACTACAACTAGCTACCGGGTACCCAAATATAATTTTTAGCCACAGACATTATACAGAGCTGGTTTTTAATCCTTGCTGGTATACAGAATGACAGGAAAAATGAAATACCTGACCACAGACCTCTCCTAGGGACCACAGCATACCTTTACTGGATAAACAGCTAAACCATGGGATGTAAATCCTGGCATCTCGGTAACGTAGACCAGAAAAATGGGGCATGCATAATTTATCACCTTGTATATCATAGCGATTTGGGTCACATGTGTCTGAAGCTTGGTAACTGTGGGGAGGGAATTTTACAGACTTTTGCGTGCCTGTATCGATATTCTATTTAAGACATATTGCGTCTGAGCCAGCTTGGCTATGATACTGGGGCAATAAATCACATGGAATACGACGCAAGCAGTTTTCATCGTTATTTTTTGTCTGGATATCTTGCATCTCCTATTTTGAAAGGCATCCAATTTATTATGCAATTTCAAGGTGGCAAAACTGGAAATATTATTAAAAAAGGCAATCTGTATGATATTGATGCATACTATCCCGTATCAGTACATTTGAAACAGTATTTTATACGTTAGGCATTTAAAACTAAAGAAACAAGCCCCAAGATGAGTCCTTTATCTTATTCCCTAAAAATCTATCGAGGTCCTTCCAGTAACCGTTTTTCATCAGAATTTTAGGCATTTTTGCTCCATGAATGTCGAGATACATTGGGACAGTGTTATTTTGACTCAGTATGTAGATAAGTGACTAGACTTTATGTTGACTTTGAAAAAAATCTGGTTTCCAAGCCCTAAAAACTGCACTGGATGCCTTTGAAGATATGGGTACGTTTCGGAGGAAAGGGACACCGATATTAATTGCACAGTGGATGACGTTCGTAGACGAGCAGGAATGTTATAAAAATTCCAGACCGGGGCGGTTTCGTACATCGATCCACATGTGATAAATTAATTTTATCGAACTATCGAAGTGGGGAGGGGGGCACCAGACCTAGTTCGAGTACCGAAAAATACGGCCTACTTTTGAAGATTTCGACGAACATAATTTTGCTATATGATTTTACAACCGGTGGAGAAAGAGGGTGTACAGAGAGTAGCCTACAAGAAAAAGCACGGCTTTCCTCAGCAGATAGCAGTAAAAGCAAACGGTGTTGCATCAACAACTTGTTGCGACTTGGAAGTTTCTGAAACAACAACACGAAAATGGCCTAGTGCCCCGACGGTGTCAAATTTAACACCAACAAAAAGGAGAACAAAAACATACCTGTGGTTAAAATCTAGCGGCAAGGTTGGATCCTCTCCTACTACGGAATCCATCGCGGCTTCTGAGAATCTCTAGCGCTGAACTATAGGTAAGATGCAGGGCGTGGAAGCCCACCGAAACGCAGAGTTTTCTTCCGTACTGGTAAAAATCGTTACGACAATTTTGCCGCCATGTTTGTTAAAATGATGACGCATGCGCGTCTTGGTTGATTTTCGGGTGAAACTTTAACTCAAGAGCGACACCTAGTGGCCAAGAAAAATTATGCAACCAATTGTAACATACCGCACAGTACATTATTGACGTGCATGGTTGAAGCAAACTGTTCGCTTTTCATACATTCGCTCTGCGTAAGATCCTTTTTGTGCCATTCTGCATAAAATCTGAAGTACACTAAGTCTGTATTCTAGTTTGTGACCAGTTCCAAGAGAAAACCGTACGATTTGTCTTGGATAATATATGACCCCAAAAAAGCAATCCTCACCTTGCTGAATTAATCCACGGCGCGAAGTCTTCAGAACTTGTTGAAACATCGTCTGCTGTCTGACTATCCTCCCTTGCGCTGTGCAATAAAGAGTTTTCAGGATGGTCAGCGTCGAATTTCTCTTCTATGTCAGAATTACAGTCGTCTTGATTTGAGACGTCTACCTCCTTATTTAAGACGGAACCTTCCTTGATTAAGATGTCTTCGTCCACTGTGAGGATGTCTACCTCCTCAACTTGGACGCCTTCTTTCTCGCCCAAGACGTGCAACTATTTTATAGTTGAACCGTCTAGAGCCTCCTCCGCAACGTCTACTACCTCAGTTGGAACGTCCGTTGTCTCTTTTGAGACAGCTAACGTTTCAGTTGAAACGCCTACCGCCTCTCTCTCCATCTCCATTGGGCAAGCTTCCCGATTGTGTTGTACTGACGGGGGACTGGCCACTACCGACTCATTTGAACCGCCTTCAGTCTCCTTCGCAACGCCTACAACCTCAGTTGGAACGTCCGAAGCATGTTTTGAGACGGCTAACGTCTCCGTTGAAACGTCTGCTCTTTCCACAGGGCAACGTATGGACGGGGGACTGGCCACTACCGACTCATTTGAACCGTCTACAGCCTCCTTTGCCGCATCTATACCCTCAGTTGGGACGTCCGAAGCCTGTTTTGAGACGGCTAACGTCTCAGTTGAAACGTCTGCCGTCACCACAGGGCAACATTCCCAACTGTGCCGTATGGACGGGGCCGGGGGACTAGCCACGCCAAAGTTGGGCGACACCGCCTCCAGTCCTACAAAACTTGTCCCCAAACTGTGCCGACGACGGGCTCTTCTAGATCTGTTTCTCCTGGTCGGTGAAGCATTTGGGGACGGGGTGGGAGACACCGGCACAACCCTGACGAAACTGCCCGATCCGCCGAACGGAATCATCTTCAAAACACGGGATCTTAGCTCAAGTTATGTCATCATGAAAATCAAAATAAGTTGTGATGAATACCGTTCCTCGTTTTTTATTCGAGAGAACAAATGGAAAAGCGTTCTTTTTGCTTAGTGGAAACTTGAGGTTTTTGAACCTGGTTCGGTTCTTGTTTCCCTATGACGTCGCAACATGGTTTGTGCCAGTGATGCTGTCTAAATGGCGCACGGACGCAGAAATAGTGTGCGATTTCAGGGGTGCCAGAGTATACAGTGCAATTTTACGGAATACAGTACAATCCTATTAGTATACAGTGCAATTTTACTATTATTGCACTGTATTCCGTAAAATCGCACTGTATACTAATACGATTGCACTGTATTCCGTAAAATTGTACTGTATCCTAATACGATTGTACTGTATTCCGTAAAATTGCACTGTATTCCATAAAATTGCACTGTATTCCATAAAATTGCACTGTATACTCAGGCACCCCTGGATTTAGTACTCTGTGTCACGATCTCTAGCTATACCCAGGACAGTAACAGTACCCCGAAGGTCGCTAGGGGACGCGATTAATCATGTGTGGCTATCCGGATAGTGAGGTCAGCACCAAGGACAGGACTGCTCATCAGGTCGAGGACGGTTTTCAGAACCAAGGACAGGTCTTCTTCATGTTGTATCATCGTCTTTTTTTGCACCAACGGGTTAGTAATTTCCTTAATTTAGTGCTTTGTAAGTTTTTGAATTTTTATTGTGGGTCTGTTTTTGTTTCTTCGCCTCCAGTAGTTTTATTTTCATGTTGTCTCTTATAATTAGCTTCAATAACAACCTCTCTTGGTCTAATACTTCTTCTCGACAAGGTAATGATGTTAGACACTAGCTACCTCTGATTGGTTGTCTTTAGGCACTAGCCATCTCTGATTGGTTGTCTTTCTTCACAACATACTGACGTATCCAAAGGGGGCGTGGCAAGTGGCCAGCTGCACAAACACGCAAGTCATGGGAAGTGAGATGTGACACACTAGCGCATTTAAGACGGTATTTAGATTTCAGCACTACTTGAGTCCACAACCAGTTAAGCCTTTGAAAAGTGAAGGCGTTTAATACGGCATTTTTCTTCTGCTGCCAGCCCTGTTTTTAAGTGGACTTTCACACCAACGCTACCATGGCTGAAAGCAAACCTAGCAACACAGAACCTTCGGTCTATACATCAGGTAATACTTTCGCCTGTACTCTTTATTAACCGACGAGGGGACCGCGTTGCTGAGGAAAATAATGGAAGATGAACTCGGCAAACTGAAGAAACCAAGTCTTCGTAAACTACTGCAGAATCGTAAGCAGCAGCTTTGGAAACTCTTGAATTCCGCACAGAGGGAGCTTCTGTATCCTGAAGGTGGAAGAGTTCCAAACAACGCGAGCGGGCGAGGGTTCGACATTTCGCTGTTGGCTCTCCTGGTGGAAAAACTCTTCAAAGAAGCACCGCGTCGAGTTGCAAGGGACAGACTTCTCCGGTTTATGAACGACAATTTGCATATTACAAGCACTGACTTGTCCGAAGAAGAGTTTTCAAAACTGTGGGAGGAGTTGCGTGGCATTTTGGTGGACCTCGGTGGGGACGAGGACAGGATTTCAGAAAGACTTAGCTCACTGAGTATCGACCCAAACCAAAGCCCAGGTACTAGATACTTCTCACTGGCTTACTTGACTTCTCACAATCAATTTTGCTATTTGCGCTGAATTTCATATCGTGCATGACGGCAACGTCGAAAAAATGTTATGTACACTTTCCCTTTTTGACATATTTTGTCTGACCCTTACCTCTTCCACAATGACCTCAATGAAAAGCGGCCTACAGGTCGATTTTAGCTTCACATGAATAGAAAATGGTTCAAACGAACAAAACTCAGAGATTATAGTTGCTTTGAGGTTTGACTGCACGAAACCAAGTCTACTATACTATGTAGAATTGTTTTTGAGGTGGAGTTTTAGGGGATTTCAATAGTGAAAGTGGTTGACCGCTGACCAGTCTTGGATGCTATGAAAGGTATTGTTCCAAGGGGTGTGTTAGTGAATAACAAAAGAAATTGTAACTTAAGAACCTGTTTGTGTTAAAAGCAAGGTGCAAGGTGGAGGGTTTAGCAGGATTCAAAGTCAAACTAGAACCGTTTTAGTGAAGTGCACATTTGAAAAACACTTTGTATGCCAAGTTCCTCTGTATCTGTATCTTTGTATTTAGTTGGTAGCCATCAAATCCTGGTTCAATGGCCACATACTTCAGTTTCCCCCCACTTTTACTTTCTTTCACTTTCACTTTTGCCATAGTTCAGGCACACTAACTAATGATCAGCAATTATCCATGATTCTATTGTGTGATTGCCTGTTAGTTTCAAATTCACAGGCCTGCCCTTTACTAATACTAGTAAGGCCACACTGACTGAATTTTATGGATGACATCCTCTGAAGCCCCCCCTATTAGTGCATGCGGGCGAATAAAAAAAACATTCCAGCAAAAAATGCTGCTAAACCACAGGAATACAAAGCTGGTACTAGTATTGTGTACTTGCGATAGTACATGACTACTTTCACGACAAGCCGGCCATCCAGGCCAGAGCCGAAAAGGAGTTGATTTTTTTTTTTAGAACAGGTGAAAATCAATGCGCACGTGGATGTACAGTGCTATCTGATAATCTGAATTATAATTAAAATTTGTTCTATTAGCTCCTGCTCCTATGGCTACCAATGTGCAGGCTACAGTGACTGGTGACAATGCAGAAATAAACATCTACCCTGGTCTAAAAGGTAAGTATGTATTCATATCTGTATATTAATTCTACTGGAATCCCAGGAAAATGTGTATAGAGCCACACAGTTAAAATGCAAATGGTATTTGAAGCCTTCCTAAGGCCATCTCCAATTTAATTTCTTGGTTAACGGATTCGCCTGCTTCATTTTTTTCTGCTTTGCAAAAAAAAAAGTAAAAATTCAGAATCAACTGCAAAATGCTCATATTTTTCCCTGAACAGTTGAAAACAGTCCTTTTCTTCCTAGTTGTTACAGTTATTCCATCTTTCAATGCAATGGAATCATTAAAAGTTCAAAATTCATTGTATAAATTGTTTTCAATTTAAATTCATTGTTTAAATTTGAACAAGCCTGGTGTGTTGACTTCATGGCTCCTATTGTACCATATTGGGCCATAATAGGATGCCTAGGCCTGTTTTTATTTTTCGCCCGCCCACTCCATTATTTTTCTAGAAAAATCCGTCAACCAAGAAATTAAATTGGTGTGGCCTTACCTCCATGAAAAAAAATTAGGTCTGTGTTGTGAAAGACTCTGTGTTTCTACATATTTGTAGTCAACATAACTTAAGAAAGCCTTATGGATTGTGATGATTTTTGGTGTGTTGGTAGGTCTTAGGAAGACAAAGGGTGAAGGTCAGAAGTGTGCCTCCTGGTGGATGACTTTGGTATTGCAGCAAAACTTGGTTTTTGTATCTTTTGGTCTAGACATGCTATCATCTTGTTTCTAACACAAAAATCTGCCACCAAAAATACAAGTGTCCCTCTAATGTTTAACTTAGAGATTAGCACTATTTAATATTCAAGTATCTAAATCATGTCATTCTAAAATGTTTGTACATTCTAAAATGTTTGTTTCAATTGTTCGCATATTCAGGAACCAGCACAGAAACCTCACAGCCCTTCCCACTAGAGAAATGCCAAGAAGCTCTCAGGGGGCACTACAGAAGAAGATGCAGCACTGTCCGAGTTCTACCATGGAATCCAGACTTCACAATTAATATAAATGACATCTTCACCAGTGTAGACCTCATTGCACAGTACAGGAATGATTCCAAAGGGCAACCATTACAATCCATAATGGACATATTCAAGATGAGCAAAGACCACCTAGATCGTCGGCACATTTTGATATGGGGTGCAGCAGGGATAGGAAAGACCACCATTCTAGCAAAACTGGTGACAGACTGGGCAAATCTAAAGTCACCTTCAGAACTCAGGAAAAAGTATGACCTGGTTCTTTTTGCTTGCCTTGCGAGAGGTTATGACATCCCAATCGTTAGTTGACTGCATCTTTGACCAACTGCTACCATATGATGTAGACTTTGGACAAAGTGACCTCTGGAGTTCATCCATGACAATGACAGAGTTTTTCATCATTCTAGATGGGTATGATGAGTTTGATGAGTGTACTAGTGACAACGATATCTCACGTCTCCTTGATTACGACATTTTGCAGCATAGCACTGTCATTGTTACAGCGACACGTATCTCTCATGTTACCAAATTCAACCTCGACACAAGGGTAGAGATAGTGGGATTCAGTCCGGACAACATAACTTCCTTTGTCCATAACTGGTTTGGAAATGCTGTCGAAAACAAAGAGCATTTAGGCGACACACTACTACAGAGAATCAGCCCCACAGTCGTGTACACAGGTATCCTATCAGTGCCTTTCCTGCTTGCTCTGACTTGTCTTATTTGGGATGAAGATAGTGAGATTCTACTGAGTGACCAGGTTTGCCCTCTTTATGACCAGCTGTTATACTTCCTGAAAGAAAAGTACATGGACAAGACAAAAGTAAATCGCCAAACTGCAGAAGAGATTGAACAGACACTGTCATCACTAGAAGAGCTAGCATTTGACGGTTTGCATAGGAACACACTGCCACTGGTCTTCAGTGAAGAAGATGTAAAGAAGTATTGCAAGGCTGGACATGAAGCTCCTGTTTGTTTGGGACTCTTGAAAATGCAGAAAAACTCCTCTAAACTGCGCCCTGCCTACCAGTTCTCATTCTCACACAAGACAATGCAGGAGTATTTTGCAGGGAGACATCTTGAAAGCACACTTGCAGGTCAAGACGATGCAGCAAGGAAAGACACACTCTGTCGCTGCTTTCCAGATCTAAAGAGCATCCTGCGACTCGACAACTTACTGGTGTTTACTTGTGGAAGGCTTGGCCGAGACGCAGCCTTCATCCTTTCACACCTCAATGACGTCTACAGTGACTCCAACGTAAAACGTTTGGAGGAACGCTTCTACACTTTCTTCAAGACTGTTGACGAAAGTGAATGCCAGCCTGACGTAACATTGAAAGGGGCCACTGGCATACACCTAGAATGCCTAGGCCAGTGGAATGACTATCCGCACAAGCTTCACATCTATCAAAACAGCATGGAAGTTTTCTTGCTGTGCTGCTACGAGAGTGGGCTCACAGAAAACTTTGACGAAGTGCTGTTCAAGAGAAACACCATCCAGTTCTCAGGTGCTAACCCAAGATTGTACAGCGTGCTGTCACGTGTCATAGCAGATGGTAAGAAGAAGGTCGAGCAGCTCCGTTTGGTCAACACACAACAGTACGTCCTTGGTGGTGTCCTTGACAGCTGCACGAGCTGTCCAATCTCACTGAGCTGAATCTGCGACAGTCACGACTGGGACAGCAAGAAATCAAGGACAAGCACACACCTGAAAAGCTGAAACATAGGCTTAGCCAAAGACAATTGTCAAGTAATGTAGCAGAAAATGCAGCAAAGGCAACCAGTCTGTTGGCCAAGTGTCTTTCATCTTTAAGACTGTTGAAGAAGTTTGTAATCTCCTGGAATGACCTTGGACCAACAGACATGAAACAGCTCCTACCTGCCATTCAACAGTTGAATGACCTTGAGGAACTCTTCCTCTCAGGAAATGATCTGACCGACCTCGGCAAGGATGTTGCAGAGCTCGTGGCTTCTCTACCCAAGTTGAAAGTCTTCAAAGTGTACTTCTGCCAGCTGTGCTTGGGGGAGCTCTTGGAAATAGGTCAGTGAGGCACATTTCGCACTACACGACGGTCTACGTGCCTTTACATGAAGCGCAGCAAGCCATTTTGATTCGTTGTTAATCATAGCAGCTGCTTTGATCCAACTTATCAAGTGTTCTCTGGAAACAATTGAAGCATAATTGATTGTCTTAATCCCCCATTGCACATTATTGCTGACCCTCCTATTACCCTAAAGTGTTGCCAGGATCCCCACATGCAGACCCTCACAAATGTATAGACAATATTTATTTGATAACATAGATTACAGCACACTTTGAGGGTTGATGCTTGTCAATTTTTTTTGATAGGGGCAAATAAAAAAAATCTGATGTCTAAAAATTGGGGTGGGGAGGGGGGTAGCTAATACTTATAATCCATGTTTTGTAAGTCCCATGAAGCCAGCTTGAGGTTTGGATTTTAATATATTGAAGGATATGCTACAATCAATAATCATGTTTGTCTCGTTTTATCAGCCTCCAGTCTCCAGCAACACTGCCCAGACCTGGAGCTGTTTGACTTCCAGTTGAATCCGGTCAAGATGGGAGAGCCAACCCTGATTGGGGAGGAAGAGAAACAGGCAGTTTGTGACAAGTTGAACAAGGCAGTAAAAGTGTGTTGGGGAACAAGTTCTTTTGTAGGCACAGGCACAATGTAGTAGGACAAACCATCTGAAATTATTGAAAGTTGTAAATCATTCATTAGGCCATGCTATGATAGGCATCAAATTTCTTGATTTCCAGTATTTTTGGCACCTTGGAAGGCAAAATAAAAACAGTAACAACAGGCACTGTATGGTAGTAAAGAAACCAGACTGTATTTGAACACGAAATTTAAATTAAATGCAGCAACTTAACTAAATGTATAACATAGTGGAGCAGTGGTTTACATATGAAAGTATTATAAGAAAACAAGGACTTTCTTCAACTATTGTTGCCTAAAAAGGCATTTGCCTTGACTTAATGTCCAGAATTTGACACGCCACTCTGTTTGTTTGTTTGTTTTCTTCTCATTAAAGGAACTGTCAATCAGAGTTACTGGAGTGTCATGTAATTATTTTCTTGAAGGTGGCAAAAAAAAATACAAGTAGTAGACATATTGATCTCAAAGCTGGTGTCTTCGAATTCCCTTACAGTTACACATAAAATTGACTTTTGCCATACAATCATTAAAACATGTATGATCAATAAGATTAATAAAAATTTACAGCCATATGTGAAACAAGTAGTGAAATGTAACACTAGTAGACTATAGCAAGACATCCAACATTGCTCAAACAAGTTTTCTTTAACAACTTAAGTGAAAGATTTACATTACACCATGGGATGAACCAGGATGTGGGGGGATACAAACCTAGCCTCATTTAGTAGATTTTTATTGTGTTCTCGCTGTAAAAGTGCCACCTGCATCGGCTACATATAGCGGCAAGAAGCAGAACTTCAGTTAGAAGCTCCGAGACATTGTGTAAAGGGACAGGTCTACCAACCAGGCCGGGGATGGTTTTCAGCACCAGGGACAGGTCTACTCACCAGGCACCAAGGATTTCAGCACCAAGGGATGGTTTTCAGCACCAGGGACAGGTCTACTCACCAGGTCAGGGATGGTCCACAGCTTTGCTCCCTTTTGATGTTGAATTTGGTGGCTGAATTTCTGACAAAGTTCTGCTTGCTTACTTGTACAAGAACATTATCACCAGTAGTTACAGTTAAAATAAAACATAAAATAGTGAAGAATATTCTGCTTTTACATTGATTGTCTTTATCTTTGACACTGAGTTTTAATTCCTGGATTCCATTGTATGGGAGGGAATGACTACTTTCCTTGAAGTGTAGGAGAACATGACATTGGTTTTTATTTTATTGGAGGTAGCCTCTATTTTATTGCATCAGACTTGTGCAGCTGAATTGAGACAGTTCACAACATCCCTATCTAATTGCAAGCAATAACCGTACCTAAACTACGTACCTACCGTACAAATTATGTACCTACTGTGTTCTATGGCCAGGTAACTATGTACAAGTTACAATTATAAAAGTACTTGCAACAAAATGTCATTGATATTGATAATCTGTAGTAATATAAATGCACCTAGAGATAAGTGCAACAAACAAAAATAGTCTGATATGATGACCTCAAGAAATTACAATACTGTACAACTGTATATACATCATATAATATTTCAATCCTTAATTGAATGAAGGAATTAGTCAAAAGTGAGCAGCAATATGTGTCTATTGCTTTGCAGGTCAGGTACATGTATAGAGTTAGGTATAACAAGCAGAAGTTTAGTCTGATATGATTGTCTCATGAAGTTACAATACTGTAGAGCTATATACATCATATAATACTTTGATTGTTCATGGAAGTAAGCAGGAAGGAGTCAAAAGTAAGCAGCAATATGTGTCTATTGCTTTGCAGGTCAAGTACATGTATAGAGTTAGTTATATGAAGCACAAATAGTCTGATATGATTACCTCATGAAATTACAATACTGTACAACTGTATAACATTACATCATGTAATGTTTTGATTCTTCATTGAATGAAGAATTGAGTAAAGTGAGCAGCAATATATGTCTATAGCTTTGCAGGTACATGTAGAGAGTTAGGTATAACAAACAGAAATATAGTCTGATATGATTGTCTCATGAAATCACAACACTGTACAACTATGTATATACATTTGTACATCATATAATATTTCAATTCTTCATTGATTAAAGAAATGAGTCAAAAGTTGCACATGCTGAGAATCAATTGTTTCTTTTAGACACCTTTATATAAAATTTCTTCCTAAGACATCTGTATGGATTCCCAACATACTTTCACTCCACTGTTCAACTTTTCACAAACTGCTTGTTTCTCTTCCTCCCCAATCACGGCAGACTCTCCCATCTTGACTGGATTCAACTGGAAGTCGAACAGCTCCAGGTCTGGACATTGTTGTTGGAGACTGGAGGCTGGTGAAACAACACGAGAGACAACTCATTGTTACTACATTGTATATATTGCCATTGGTTTCATTCTGATATCCTATTCAATGAGTTGTAGTTCAAGCAATTAAATCAGAATTGTGTTTTACTGTAGACTTTTACTTTATAATATGATATTAATTTCCAACCATGATAAATTTAAAAGCATTATGGTTAACGTTATCACTATTTCTTAGGAAAATTGTGCATTGACTGAAAAAGATAATGTACATAACTCTAGTACACAATGTAACTAAGTTGTCACAAATTTGTGGTGAAACTGGTGTGATGTGTGACTGATGAATAAGAACACATAAAAAAAGTAACTGTTACTTTTAGGCTGAATCATTGACAAAAGTACATTGTAATGACATATCATGCTAGATGTGCTTCACTGACCTATTTCCAACAGCTCCTCCAAGCACAGCCGGCAGAAGTACACTTTGAAGACTTTCAACTTGGGTAGAGAAGCCACAAGGTCAGCAACATCCTTGCCGAGGTTGGTCAGGTCATTTCCTGAGAGGAAGAGTTCCTCAAGGTCATTCAACTGTTGAATGGCAGGAAGGAGCTGTTTCATGTCTTCAGGTCCAAGGTCATTCCATGAGATGATCAGCTTCTTCAGAAGTCTTAAAGATGGAAGATGCTTGGCCAGGAGACCAGGTGCTTTTTCCACATATACGTTATCTACTTGTTTTGACAGCTGTCTTATCGAAAACTTTCTCATTAGTCTGTCAGGTGTAGTGCACTCAGGTTTTGGCTGTCCCAGTCGTGACTGTCGCAGGTTCAGCTCAGTGAGGTTGGACAGCACATGCAGCTGCTCAAGGACACTCCCAAGGACATACTGTTGCGTGTTGACCAAACAGAGCTTCTCGACCTTTTCCTTGCCATTCACTACCGCATGTGACAGCACGCTGTACAGTCGCGGGTCAGCTCCTGAGAACTGGATGGTGTTTCTCTTGAACAGCACTTCGTCAAAATTTTCTGTGTGCCCACTCTCGTAGCAGCAGAGCAAGAAAACCTCCATACTGTTTTGGTAGACAAGGAGCTCACGTGGATAATCGTTCCATTGTCCAACACACCGCAACTCTACTTCCTTGCCTTGGTTGTCAGAGACGCCTTCCAACTTTACGTCCGTGTTCCATCTCCTTGGAAACATTGCTTTGTGGAAGAAGGTGTAGAACTCATCCTCCAAGTGTTTTACATTGGAAGTGCTAAAAATGTCTTCAAGGTGTGAGAGGATGAAGATTGCGTCTTGGCCAAGCCTTCCGCAAGTGAACACTAGTAAGTTGTTGAGTTGCAGGATGCTCTTCAGATCTGGAAAGCAGCGACAGAGTGTTTCTTTCCTTGATGCATCGTCTTGATTCTGTAGTTTGCTTGCAAGATGTCTCCCTGCAAAATACTCCTGCATGGTCTTGTGTGAGAATGAGAACTGGTTTGCAGGGTCCAGTTTAGATGAGTTCTTCTGCATTAGCAAGAGTCCCAAATGTACGGGAGCTTCATATCCACCCTTGCAATACTTTTGTACATCTTCTTCACTAAAGAGAAGGGTATTCTTTAGCAAACTGTCAAATGCTAGCTCTTCTAGTGATGCCAATGTTTGTTCAATCTCTTCTGCAGTTTGGGGATTTGTGTCTTTTGTCTTGTACCTTCTTGACAGGTATTCTACTAGGCGATCATACAGTGGGCTAACTTGGTCACTTACTGGAATGTTACTGTCCTCTTCCCAAAGAAGACAAGTTAGGACAAGAAGGAAAGGCACAGACAGGATTCCTGTGTGCAGAATTGTGGGGCTGATTCTCTGTAACAGTGCCTGTCCTTGCTCTGGGCTCTTGCTGAACCAGTTGCGAACAAAGGAAACAATGTTGTCGGGACTGAAACCTACAATCTCTACTCGTGTATCTGGGTCCATTAGGTTGACAGCGTCAGAGATACGTGTTGGTCTTGTGGTGACGACAACAGTGCTTTTCTGCAGAATTTTGTAGTTGAGGAGCCTGTGGATTTCCTCAGACCCCAAATCTATTTCAAACTCATCGTACCCATCTAGAATGATGAGAACTCTATCATTATCTTTGATGAACTCCAAGAGGTCATCTTGGGAAAAGTCTACATCATCTGGTAGCAGCTGGTCAAAGATGCAGTCGACTAACGATTGTGATTTCTTAACCTCTCTCAAGGCAAGCTCAAAGACCAGGTCATACTTCTTCAAGGCTTCCGAAGACTCATTTGCCCAAACCGTCACCAGTTTTGCTAGAATGGTGGTCTTTCCTATCCCTGCTGCACCCCATATCAAAATGTGCTGGGGATATGGACAGTCTGCTCTACTACTGAATATGTCTTCTATAGAGTCCACTGGTTCCCTTTTGAAGTCTCTGCCACATTTGTTGTGAACCATGAGATCTACACTGGTGAAAATATCATCGACATTGATGGTGTTGTCCTTATTCCATGGTAGGAGCTGGATTTTGCCTCGTCTCTTTTTGTAGTGGTTCTTGAGAGCTTCTTGACATTTCTCCAGTGGGAATGGCTTGCTTGCTGTGTCACTTGAGTCTGGACAATTTAAAGAGATAATGTTTAAAAGTCATATATATATATATATATATATATATATATATACGTACATATATACGTACATGTATTTATATGTACATGAATGACAGACTTAGGGGTATGGCTTAGACTTGATAAGCTAGAGTAGCTAGGGGTATGGGTAGAAACAGTATCTACTAATATCACACGTTTAGATAATAAGGCATTCAATATCAGTTTATGTATGCCACTTATTTGGGTCAGGTGTATTAAGCAAAGATCACTTATTCCTAGCAATAAAAAGGACACAAGTATGATCCTTAGTCAAAACTCTCATTAATAATGCAAGGAATTACACTCAAAGAATTTTGTCCAGTTTACATAGCCACCGCCTTTGTGCTATATAGCTATTGTCCTATTTTCAGAAAATATTATCTTACAGATACATATAATCTTGTATAACAAATGTGTAAAATTCATGTATATGGTTGGTGTCTCCATTCATGTAAGATATAAATTAATGTGAGAAATGAGTTAATGTGCACTGCAAGGTTCACAGGGGTGCATATAGGTTTTAGATAAACTCTGATCGAACAAATAGCCTGAGGAGTCTAAATCCCTCCTGCTACAAAATTGCAACATGATGTAACCCAACACTCACGGTGGTAAAATCTGGGCTGCAAAGTTCCCACATTTCATAGAATCCGAACTGTGTTCGATCGTGTTCGATCTGGGCAATTCGAATCGAACCCGCGTTCCATTTCGGGGTCACCTGCGGTCATTTACAATAAAGCGGCAAAACAAGCCCTTCTGCCTGAGTGCCTCGCAACGGATAAAAACAACACTTTTCTATAGATACAAACAGTTTCCTGGACAGTACATGTCCGCTATCATTTTTGGTGGGTATGTAACATGTAGCGAAGCTACTGTCGTATGCTTGGGTGACCTTGAATACTGTAATGATTCTTTACACCTGTATGAATAACACAATGCACACTTTCTGGCCATATGACATGTCTGCAAAACTCGTTCAAACCTGAAAACATGGAGAGTCAAACATACCCCATTTACGGCTCAAAATGACTGTCACGGTTGTCCCGAAAATCGTGTTTTAGGGATTTTTGAAAAATGGCCTCAATTTTGAATTATGGGTAATTTAGTGAGAAAAATGTCAAAAACTGCAATTTTTTCACCAATATGTCGACAAAAACTAGACTTAAAATCAGAAATTAAAAAATCCCTAAAACACAATTTTTGATCTTATTCCTAGTCAGCGAAAAATATAAAAATCGAGGATCTGGGGTAATATACGTAGCCAGGTTTGAACGATGTTTACCTAAAAACGTGACATGACTTGTGCTCGGAAACCCGAAAATAATCGTCTTTCTGAGCGAAAGTTTTAAAAATAAGTGATTTAACATAAAAAGCTAACATTCAAAGGATGTTAAGACGATAATTTCATTTTAATTTGACGAAATTTACCACTTAATATTATTTGTTTATTTTCAAATATTTTACGGGTAGTCCAAAACAGGCCAAAATAGCGTCTTGTAACCCGATACCTTTTAGAACGCGCCTAGCAATGGGAAAGAATACCGTAGTGACAGACCGCCGTGACTAGTTACTGGTATCATAGTGCATGTATTTGTAATAAGTGTACCGGTAAGTACATGTACATGCTTACGTACCTTGTGAGCATGAGTTAGGTTCCTGGTAGATGTTAACTACTGAATGGTCCCCAGTTGTCACGGTGATGTTATGGTCACCAGTCACGGTAGTTTGTACATTGAAAGTCTTAGAAGTGGATTCTAATAATAAAACACAATTTGTAACATAACATCATCAAAGTGTGTCTTCACTACTAATTCAACAAAATGCATGAGTGACTGTGCTTTTCATACTGTATTGCACAACTTGACACCTGCAGCCTGCCATTAATTTTTGAAAAATTTGTTTAGATTTCCATGAGTAAAAAGTACTGCCTTTCAGTTCAATATTGTGTAATAATTATCATGAATCACAATCAAGATGATTATACAGCATAATAAAGCTTAATGTTACATGTATGTTGGATAAGTGGCTTGCGTAACATTTTCAGAAAGTTCTTTTTCATAATTTCACAAATAAAATTTCGGAACACTGGCAATATATGTTTTGAGTCCTGGGTGCATATCTTTCAGCAAAATTCCACTCACCCTGAAAAATTTCTAATAAGTTAATTAATAAGTTGAGCAAACTCACCTGGTTCTCCCTTGATACAGCTGTTAGGATCATCTGGTGCATGTACTGATACAGGAACAGTTCTAGAGGAATTGTCCAGAGCCACTTCCTCACGTGTACTTTCTTGAGCACTGTCATTAGCACTATACGTAGTCTTTGCTTGCGTAGCGCTACTCCTGTCAGTTCTACTTGCAGTGTCATCTTTATCACCTTTGCCATCTTTGCTCTCTAGATGACAACTGTCCTGTGCATCTTGTACAATCTTCACGTCAGTTTTTATTGCACCTTCATTTTTACCAGAAATACCAGTCTCCTCCTGGTCAATCGTTGTACTATGAAAATCCTTAGGAGTACTTTCAGTTTCAGGTGCACATGCAGGACTGTCTACTGATGTTGCAACATTTTCTGATCGTTTTTCCTTAACTTTGCTGGAACGTTTGCTTTTTCTAAACCTGAGTGATCTGAATACTGAGCCCTGTCTCCTTGTTCCTTTGCCTTCTGCTGTGCAGTCTCTATCAGATTGTCGTCTTTTGGTGAGCAAGTTCCCCATCTTGCCTGAAATGCTGAAAATATTTCAATCTTAATTTAAATTATAGTAAATGTGATATTTAATTTTGGAAAATTACTGTGATTTATGTTGCATACACGGTTATCAGACCGGGCAATGAATTTTGTGCTGGTTGCCAGATTCAACTTTAACGGCCATATTTTGCATATTTTTATAAGTTACAAAGTTCAAATGTATAATGTGCCCCCCTCCCCATGACCCAACCTTCTCTATAGCAACTTACGTTACGGTATAACGTTAGGCGCAGTATTTTCGTAAAATAACGTAACATTTCATATCAAGGATGTGAAAACGAACTCAAAGCTTACCTGCAGCAATCGAAGTGCTTGCTAAGCTGACTATAAACTTGTAATCAACGTTTCGACAGTCCGAGACGCCAGTTTCGGTCAGTTCCACGTTACTTCCGGGTTTGTAAATTGTAGCCACGTGACAAATGCTTTTTTGGCGACGCCTCACGGTGGTACATTATTGGTATATACGGGAACACACAAGGGATTCGCTGCTACTAAAGTTACATGTAGAAACAATGAAATACAAACTAAAAATGTTTCTGGTAACGCCTCCATATTTTTATTGATGAAATAGGACGGCATAACTTTGTTATAAAATGGGGCAAAACAGATGGCAAAAATATAATCTCCAAGCAGATGTTTCGGTAGCTGCAAAATACAGTATCAAATTGGCCAGACAGTATCCACTGTAAATGGACACTGTCTGGCCAATTTGATACTGTATTTTGCAGCCACTGAAACATCTGCTTGGAGATTAGCAAAAATATTGGTACTAGTATTCTTCCTGATACACTGGGTTTATAGGCGCTACCAACTGTATTCTGTATTTTTCCCTCAAAGTTACAAAAAAAAATTGGCCATGCACTGGCCATACAATCAGTAATGTTACATCATGATCAATGAAATAAATAAAAAATTAGTTAATGAAATATAACTCAACAAAAAGAAAACAAAGGCACAATACTGCTGTTCTGTAGCTCATATGGAATTAAATTATAATGGTAAACATGTATTTCACTGAGTAGTCCAGAGAGCACACTGGCATTTTTGCATCAAGAGAATGGTATTTAACCTTCCTCCTCCTCCCAAAATCAAATACAAAGTTGGTGCCAGAGGTGTACCTTAGCATGGAGGCATGGAGTAGGTTAAAATTAGGTAGAAATTCCTTATACAGAGATTGAGAGCTATGGAAGAAATTTGCTAAAACAGAATTTGTCTAGAAAACTGCATCATGTCATATACATAATCTTATGACAGCTGTGTAATATTTGAGGTCTAGTGGTCGTTTGGTATCTTAGCTTCTATAATATCTTAGTATAGAGAGAGATCCAAACAGTTCGATTACTTCTGCTGAGCCGGGTTTATTGATCCGTATGTTAACTCTAAAACAGGTATATGTGGTCTAATGGTTCACGAGGAGTTTAGCACGTAGTTACACAGAGGGTTACCAATGGTCTAGGATTACACAGATGTGGTACTAGCAGTTATACAATCTACTTATCTACAGAGCTACAACTAGACATGTGCACATACCTTGGATCCAGGTCACGACTAACTTACGCAGCGATTGTCTTTCCCAAGCTCAACTCTGTTCACAATAGTCCCTAACCTGATTGGTTGCTCTCACCAACCAATCAGGGCCTACCTAACGCGCAAATATATGCATAATCTCTAAAGTAGTCTTTCCACATGGTCATTTACATATTACCCTAATTATACAAATCATAATAAGTCATAACCGTTACACTATCCCCCTCTTTCCATCAAGCGGGCGTCCTCGTCCGCGAACTCATATTACCATATACAGGGGATAGAACATAATAATAAAACAAGGTCAAATATAAACATATCCATTACACAATCAAATATGGCACATAACACGGGATATGACATCAAGGCAACATACACATGAATGTCATCATGGGACTCTTAATCCCAGGGTCGTGGGTTCGAGCCCCACGTTGGGCGCCACTGTAAAAACCGAAAGGGGCGAGCAGGTCACAACCGGGAATCGAACCCGAGTTGTCCGCTTGGCGGTCACCAACGCTAACCACTACACTAAAAGGTCGCACGACCATTTAGCATGGTCAGTTAGCGGAGGATAAACCCCACTGTTACAGCTGCCTTAAAATGTTTATAGATACTGCATATTTCCTTCATAATCATAATATAAATACATCTGAAAATATCTATCCTACATTCAACTATTTTAAGCACATGGAAAATACTACATGGGAGGACATGCATACTATATGCTGACAGTTTCACTAAAATGCTTACATATCTGATACGTTTTTTTATCAAGGTATCTAAAATATCTACATATCTGTATTCTACATTCAACTACAATGTATTTTTATGCATTTTTGGAACACATGCAGAAAATTACACTGCATTGGAGGACAGTAAATTCATGATTTTTTTGGTCTTCAATATGAAATAATACCAACAATATGAAATAACACAAAACAAGTGACAACAGGTATCAAAGTGACAGGTATCAAAGAAGGTCATTTCACATGAACTTAACATAATATGAGACACTAGTGAAATTTTCTACATTCTAGGCTGTTTACCAGTAAAACCAAACATAAAATGTACAATTGTTCTGTCATAAATGTGAGAAACAAAAGCAACACTAGCCTACGGATCATAAAATTATTTTTTCATTGAAATTGTACATTTTATCTGTACATAATTATACAGGTAAGTCCTACAGGACTGATAAGCCTTACAAGCATGATATTATGAATCATTTGAAAATGATTACATGAAACATACATTTAAACATGAATTTGCATACTGTGGTGCATGCATTAAATTGCATGCTCTAAATTGTACCTTCATGCCACTAGCTAACTTGATACATTTGGGTTTGATAAACTGACCACTTCTTTTGATTTTTAATTATGTAAACTTTCCATAATCATAAGGACTGATGTTACCTAGCATACAATTGATAAAATCGTCAATTCAACCTATCATCCTAAGAGAATCATAAATTCTATTTTTGTGACAATTTCTATTTTTCTTTCAAAATCTTTTATCATCTACGAATGTGCAAAAGTTTACAAAACTTCTGTTTATCATTTACCCATTTGGTCCCAGTGATGTGCTCTATTCATAATGCTTCATTAATATTCTAAGTTTTTATAATGATTGGAATGAATAAGTACACTTAGTGACAGGGTGCATTTTTTAAAGTACATAATTTGATATCTATCTTGAAGATAGATATCACATAGGCACCAAAAATGATCATAAAACTTGTTATCCAGCTTGTTAACATAAATACTTAATGGAATGATGCACATATAGGTAAGTCCAAATATATTCATTGAATATAGTGACTTAATTGAATTCTATACAAATGATGTACAATTTTCAGAAAACTCTTTCAGCACAAAGTCGGAAAATCATGAAAAACATTGTAGGGGAAAATGTACACATATATACAGTAGATAAAACATGTCTGTTAAATTTGAGCTCTGTACAGATTTACTGTATACATTATTCAAAGAGAGAACTTCAAGCAAAAAATCAATTCAAAGCACTGCAGACATGCTCAGGGCTGTTGAGCAGTGGTAGGGAGCTTTTTTTTACCCAGATGGTATGGACACCTTGTCCCCGAGTACAGCCTTGACTTTTTTTAGCTCTTTGTCTCCAACCCAAATGGACTCGTCAGGCTGGATGGGGTTCAGCTGGCAGTCAAACAGGGTCAGGTCTGGACAGTACTCCTTCAGACTGGATGCTGGGGGAAAAAATTAACACATGTGGAAGAACAGTTTAGTCTCAGATAGCTGGGTTACCATGCATTTTGTTACAGGGTTCCTTAAATTCACTCACTATCTAAAAAAAGATTAGTCTCAGATGCACATAATTTTTTTTTTTGCATGACACTTGTTCCTTAGCTACGGTATTAGTAGTAAGCTACCTGTGTTCAAGGTTTACTTTTTTTTCACAGAATTGGGCAGCTTTTCATTTAGGACACTTAAGCAAATTTCTGTTCATGTGATGTAAAAGCTTGGCCACTTTCATTGAGTAAACATACAATGAGCAAACATACCTATCTTCTTTATTTCTTCAAAGGTGAGCTGGCAGAAGTAGACCTTGAACTCTTTCAACTTGGGCAGGGAGGCTACAAGGTCAGCAACGTCCTTTCCCAGGCCACGAAGGTCATTTCCTGACAGGAACAGTTCTTCAAGGTCAGTCAGTGCCCGAATGGCTGGAAGGATTTGCTGTTTCATGTCTTCTGGGCCGAGGTCATTCCAAGATATGACCAGCTTCTTTAGCGATCTCAAGTGGCGAAGCTTCTTGGCTAGGAGGGCAGGAGCCTTGGCCAAGTTGTCTTCAGACATCTTCGTCAGTCTTCTGTACTTGAACCGTAGCTCCAGCCTCCTGGGGATTGTGCACTTTGGTAGGTGTCTGCCCAGTCGAGACTGGCGTAGGTTTAGCTCAGTCAGACCTGGCAACTTGTGCAGCTCCTCCAGAGTTGAGCCAAGGACGTAGTTCTGCGTGTTGACTAGACGGAGGTGTTCCATTCTCTTCATCTTCTCACTTTCTTCTTCTATCATGTGAGACAGCACGCTGTACACTCTTGGGCTGGCCCCTGAGAACTGGATGCTGTCTCTGAGGAACACCTGCTCTGCAAACTGCGCTGTGAGACCACTCTCGTAACAGCAGAGAAGGTACAGCTCGATGTAGCTCTGGTACGTCAGCAGCACTTGGGGGTAGTCGTTCCACTGGCCGGCAAAGTTTTGTGTCAGATCCCTTGGACTTGCAAAGTCATCCAACTTGATGTCCTTGGTCCAGTCCTTCTTGGATTTCCCAGTTTTGAAGAAGTTGTAGAACTCTTCCTCCACAAGCTGTACATCAGATGTGCTATGGATCTTCAAGAGGTGATGCAGGACAAATTTCGCGTTTTGTCCCAACTTTCCACACGTGAAGATGAGAAGTTCCCCGAGCATCTGGACCTTCCTGGCTGTTGGGAAATACTGCTGCAACATTTCCCTCTTAGTGGCATCTTCTGTTCTCAACTTCTCTGCGAGGTGCTGTGCGGCAAAGTACTCTTGCATCGTCTTGTGAGAGAACGAGTACTGGACGACAGGATGTGTCCTGGACGGGCTTTTCTGTTCCTTCAACAAGCCGATCTGCACCAGAATCATGTACTGGTCTCCACAGTGCCTTTTCACATCTTCCTGATTGAACACCGTGACCTCCTTCAAAAGGCATTCGAAGGCCAGCCTTTCCAGTGCATGGATGAGTGTTTGGACGTCTTCTTCACTGACAGGGTTCTTGTCTTTCGCATGGTACCGTCTTACAAGACTGTCTACTACATTGTTGTAGAGGGGGAAGATCTTGTCACTGAGTATCAGATCCTTGTCATCTTCCCACAGCAAGCAGACATGGAGAAGAAGGATGGGCGCTGAGAAGATTCCTGTATGCAGAAGGGTCGAGCCAATTTTCTCCAGCAGTTCATCTCTTTTTGTTGGCTGTTCTTCAAAAAACTTCGAGATGTACTTCTTCGCGTTGTCTGGACTGAAGCCCAAGACCTCGACTCGGGTGTCTGGCTTCATCTGCTTGATGACGTCGGAGGTACATGTTGGCCTTGTGGTGACGAGGATGGAGACATGGGGGAACAGTCTTCCTCTCAGGAGCTTTATGATGTCGTGGTCTTCATCTGGTTGCCACTCTAGCTCGTCGAAGCCATCCAAGATGATCAAGACTCTGTCACTTCTGCGTAGATGGTTGGTCAGGACTTCTTTCATGTTCACATCATCTTCAGGTGCCAGCTGATCAAAGATCAAGTCAACAAGAGACTGGGTCCTCTCAACCTTACTCAAAGCAATGGCAAACACAAGGTCATACCGCCGTAGGACTTCTACATTACATTTGTTCCACTCAGTCAATAGCTTGGCAATAAGCGTGGTCTTTCCAATGCCAGGGGGCCCCCATAGGAGGAAGCTTGAGGGTTTTGAGGGGTTGGGGTTGAAAGTAGGATTGAAAATGTGTGCAATGGAGTCTAATGGACGTCGATAATAAGCTTGGCGCCGCTCGTTGTATAGAAGAATGTCTATTGTGGTAAAGGTATCTTCTACATCCAGGATAAACTCTTTGTCGTACACCAAAGGTTGCTGCTGACGAACCTGTCGTTCGTAATGTCGGTTGATATCTTCCCGAAACGGCGCTAACTCTGAGGGGAGGGGACAAGGGGTCGTTGGGGGGCTTGGCGAATTGTCATTTTCTGTAAAAGGGAATACAGAGAAGCATTTTATAGAACATTAAATGTGGCCTGTCTGTAATACAAGATACACTAAGGTCTACATGTACATGTATGTCCATACAAGAGCTACCTAAAACTGCTCAATGTCATACTTTGGGAGAGGAGGGTGTTACAATCTAGATTAACATTTTATTTCTTTTATTTTTATTTTTATTTATTTAAATTGCCATACTGCAATACAGTGGAAGCCCTGGCAGCTGAGCTGATGTCGGGCCCCACATTATGAAATACATACATACATAAACATACACACATCATAACACAATAAAGTAACGAATCACAGAAATCTCTTATACCTACAATTTCTTTTAAATAACTATTTGCATCAAACTAAATCATAGCCTTCAGCATAGAATGTACATTGATAATGAAAAGAGATGTACGTAATTATCCTTGCTACCTTTTAATATGTACAATAGATATATTGTTGACATACCTTGTTCTGGTGTTGAGAGATACATTTCTTCAAAATTTCCTGCTAACCTTTCACCCAGACCTGCACCTGCTGGTGGTGGTCTGGCCATCTTGTCTTCTTAAACTCCCTACAGAAAAGTTTAACAGAGTATGTATTGTTATCTCTTTGTAATATGGTGCAAGTGTGCCTTTACGGACATTGTACCCATTTTTTTTCCTGATCGTAGCCATATAGGAGGCTGCATGGGGGGTATTGATTACGAATTACGAAAAATTTTCGCCGCAGATTACGAATTACGTTTAAGTCTCAGAGCTGATTACGACTTTGCGATTTGCGGCTAATGTCCTATTATGAATTACGTTGATTTTTGCGGAGGGTGCCTACGAATTACGAAGTCTAAAAAGGCCTGATTACACCTGGATTACACCTTACGAAAAAGGGCTTGCAGGCCCTCATATAGTTATGTTTCACCAGCAGAGACTTTTCATTTGATCATAATACATGAATCCCCCATGCATAGCCTGTTTGCAGATTTAACAGAAGTACACTGTAAAGCAAGATGGCATACATACCACAAGCCAGTGTATAACACTGAAAGCAAAGCAAGAGATTAGCCCTGCAACAGTCATCATGTATGCTATTTAATAAGGCCACACCGCCTTAATTTTATAGATTTTCGCCTGTTCTCGAAAGCCGTGCCGGCTTGTCGTATATGTCGCTACATGTATGTACTGCCGTAAATTCACAAGACCAGCTTTGTATTCCTGTGGTTTAGTAGCATTTTTATTTTTTGCCGGAATTTTTTTTATTCGCCCACGCGCACTAGTTTGTGGGTCTTCAGAGGATGTCATCCATAAAACTAGAGTTCCACGATCTCATACCTTCGCCAAATGATGTTAATCTTTATGACTGACAAAGTTTAGATTAGATTATTCCCCCCTGATTTAAGAAATAGGAACCTAATTTTCATGAATTATATTGTTTTATCATAATCTCAACCAAAAGACAAAAAGTCTTATATTAACAAAGAATGCATTCTAGCATTTCCTAATAAATTATGCAAATGAGGTCCTGATTTCAATAAATTATGTTTAATGATGTTCACCTCAATTTAACTTTCAAATACCACAAGTATGAAATTCCAGGCAGTTGTCATTACATAATTATAAGATTTTCTCATTAATTATGCAAATTAAGTTCTTTTTAACATAACTAATATCTTCCTGTGTTTCTCTCATTGTCAATTACCAATGTCACAAGCTTCAATTGTCCTATCATGGAATGCAGCTGATTTATAGAATTTCCCCATAAATTATGCAAATTACATCCATATTTGCATAATTGTCACATAACTATATTAAGCATCACGTGAGCTACCTACATACCAAAAATCACGACGATCCGTCAACCGGTTCTTGAGTTATCCCCTTTTGAATATTTTCAAGAATTTATCCCTGCAGTTCCAGAGCAAGCCGCTAGGGGGCCTAAACTCACGTCACTTCTTTCCCAGCACAAGAGCTACCTACCATCTAAATTTCAATACCATAGCATGTCTAGATCATGAGATATCAAAACCGGAAGTTCAGCTGCAGTACCATAATAAGCCGCTAGGGGGTCCAAAATCTAATCATTTTGAGGTCTCATCAAGACCTACCCACCTACCAAGTATCAAGACAATCCATCAAGGCCTTCTCAAGTTATCGTGTTTACAGACAGACACACACACACACAAACACACACATACACGAACGCCCCTGAAAACATAACCTTCTTGGCGAAGGTAATTAAGTCGGTGTGGCCTAATATATATAGTGTGTGTTGCATCTCTAAATTTCTTTCTTTGTACATCTGACATATGAGTTGACTGACATGGATCTAGGTCGTTCCTTGGAACCAAAATAACACACTTCCTGTTATATTATTTGTTTGGAAAATAGATTGTTTTGAGTTCAAAATATATTGAGGCTCGTATATGAAAAGGTACTATACACCTGTATTAAACTGTTATAGTATTGTCACTTCGGGACCTCGCATAATTTCAATAGCCACAAACGTTGTATGACAACGGCAGTATGCATGCACAGCACTTACCTGCTTTTATGTGATTCAAAATGCCCTGTGGTGACAAAAATTTTGGAGGTTGATTTCTAGGCGCGAAAAACAATTTTACTTCCGGGTATGTCTTTTCGAGCACACATATTTTTTACCTCACATTTCGTCTACATTTTTACAAATTACTCGGTTGTTCTAAGCCTGAAATTACCACAGACGTGTCCCGGCTTCTATTGTCTAATGCTATGGACGAAAAACACTCTTCCTTTGCTCTAGATCCTGCAGAAATTCTGGGTTTTCCCCAGTGGGCGTGGGGTTTTCCCAGACCGTCACCAGTACTTTCGCGTCGGTCGCGTCAGCTAGAGGCCAAAGGTCAAATAAAGCAGTGAGAAGAGCGCACCTAGCGAGTTCTGAAGAAAAGGCAGTCATATATACTTTGGAGAGAATCTGACAGGTGGTTAAAGTGTTTAGGGATCACTGCAGTTGGTACAGTAAGGTGTTTCTCTCCGCTAGAGCCTGTTGGACGTAAGCTGAGGCGTATTCCATACGTTCACTGCAATGAAATCTTTCCTTCTGAGATTCGTAAATGTCTCTGACAAATACTCGGACCTAACCCGGAAGTTACTGCGACCGAAAACTAGGCAAACGGTTTCAAGGGACAATGTTGGCAAGCTCTATCGAGGGCATCCCTTTCTAGACTCACGTATACGTTTTGGGCATCGTATCATATAATCTTGAGGAACTTTTTGTTTGGTGTCTGAAACAACCTTTCGTAACAATCACACGTGTTTGACACAGGAACCAAACATATTCAATGTTTGACACTTTTACTCCCAACACACATCAGTGCAAGTTTGATATTAATAATTAATCCAAGCTTAGTAAATTGAGAAACTAGAAAATGCGAGGGGGGTTTTATGACGCGCTCTCATTCCATGGTAACTCTTCTTACGACTTTCAAATGAGGAATTAAAGATGTCACAATACTCTCTGTATAATAAACAAAGTATGTGCATGTGTAATGTGTATTCGTTGAATGGCACGTTCTTGCTCTATGGTAACTGTACAGAACTTTTTGAATTCAGGAACAAGCCACAATACACTCGAGATCTGCATAACAAATATTAAGTAACTAATATCTAGCTCCTTCTTGATTTCACGACCATGGTTGTGAAGGTATGTGCATGTGTAATGTTTGCTTTGATACTTAATTTAGAAACCCTTGTGTATAAAAATCAGCCCACGGCCACACATAAGGAACTAAAGGAACATTTGCAGCTAACGGAGTCAGTGAACATTACTAGGGACATGGCGGCAAAATTACTTTTTGTAGTAAACTGTTTTCTGCTGTTTTTATTCTGCGTCGCCTCTATGAAGAGAAGCCAGGCTCCCCGGATAGTTGTACCAGAAAACGTCGCCGTCGGAGAAGTCATATTCAACCTTCCGCGCTCGTGGTCAGGAACGGAGGCCGAAGAAAAAGCGGAACTTCCGTGTGTCAATTGCAAAATCGCGGGCGATCCGGACGGACACTTTAACGTGACGAAAAACTGCTCCATCGTGGTCGCCAAACCGCTGGACTGGTCAGTACAACTGTGGTATAAACTCATAATCTACGATGGAGTACACAACATCAGAGTCGAGGTAGAGTTGACCGACGTTGAGGGCTACCCGCCTCAGGAGTATAACGAAATGTGTGAAACTCCGGTCAACACCGGGCCAGACGAATTCCTATTTCGAGTGAAGTGGAGTTATGAGGCAGTAGTGCCTGTGGACACAGGCGAGGTTATTTTTTCTAGTGTGACTGGTAGCAAAAAGAAAAGTGGTAGATGGGTACATTCAACTCAGCCTTCGTGGATATGTCAAGCAGGCAAAAGTGACTGTAGTCTTCGTATCGTTCCGTATATTACCGAACCAAATACGGATCAGTTAACAACATTAAGAGGTTTATGGCAAAACAATTTCCGCAACATGACATGCACCGGACAGAGAAATCAGCCCAATTTATTAATCGAATTGTTCAATATCCAAGAGGAAGATGCCGGGCCATCAAGATCTGATGAATTACGAAAGGTTGTCCCGAGATCATTTGTGGACAACGACATATACAACGTCTTCGTATTAATGAACTTTGGCTCATTGTCTACAAAAAAAGTGCAAACTTATACCTGCAACGTCCCGCCCTTTAACTCTCTGGTCACTGTACGCGGAGTTGGAGAGTATCTTTCCTTTAGATCTATCGAATATTTGGACATAGAGTTACAGCCAGTAGGATGCCCCGATGGGAAGTACGGCTTACTCTGCGATCGCAACTGCACCTGTCAGAACGGCGCCCGCTGCCACGGGTTTAACGGGGCCTGCAAGTGTCCGCCCGGCTGGGAGGGCGCAGCCTGTGACGTTCCCAAACGGGACATTTCGATTACCACGACTCCTAGCGATCCTACAAAGATCTACACCTCCGCCAACGTCACATTCCACTGCAAGGCGTACAACCTTGATGTTGAGTCTGTATCTCTGACTTTTCCAAATGAATCCGGGATATCGGCAAAGAGAGAGAAAAACTTGGCAGTGACGATCTCAAACATACAAGCGCAAGACAACGGCACTTACACCTGTCTGCTGAATGATACTGATGGAAACATTTGGAACAAAACACTTGTTTTCAAAATCGTAAATTGTCCACCAAACCGTAAAGGTGCCCTGTGTGATGAGAGTTGTGATTGCCAACAAGGTGGCAGCTGTGACCGATGGGCCGGTTGTATCTGTCCGCCGGGATGGAACCCGGGAACCAGGTGTCAGACAAAATGTCCGCCTGGCACCTTCGGTAAAGACTGTGGGAAGAGCTGTAACTGTTTAAACGGTGCGGGCTGTAACCCTAGCGATGGCAAGTGTAGTTGCACTGCTGGGTGGTATGGAAAGAATTGCAGCAAACCGTGTCAAAAGGGTCGGTTCGGCTGGAGTTGTGGAAGCGTTTGTACCTGTAACGTTATGAACAATACTACGCGTACGTGTAACAACGAGGACGGTAGTTGTACCTGCGTGCCACCATGGACGGGACGGAACTGTGACAAATATGAAGTTCAACACAATGAACCGCTACTCGAAAGTCTAGCACCAGTAGGCTCCGTCATCTTACTCGTTGCCATAGTGCTGGCGGTTCTCTACAAAACGCGGCTTCTGGCTTGCTCCGCGCCCGACGCGAGTGAGGAGGACAAGATACTTTTCGAGCTGAAGAGAATGGAGCAGGATCTAGCACAGAGTCTACAGCCGGGCTGGCTAAGACGCTGGGAGAAGAAGGTCCGCCATCTCACTCCTGGTCCCCTGATAGGGGAAGGGGCGTTTGGACAAGTCAGAAAGGCAGGACTGCGCACGCCTGAAGGAGACCTCGTCGTTGCCGCCAAGACAGTTCGCGTGGAGGACTCGCAGTCCTACCGAGACTTTTACAGAGAAGCGGCTATATTAGTAGCTGTTCACGAACAAAATGGCAATCCTCGCGAGTCCAATATTGTACAACTTTTGGGACTCATCACCAAGTCTAAAGAGAAGTACATCCTCCTAGAGTATGCTCCAAAAGGCGATCTGCTTGGCTTTCTACGAAGGGTAAAGAACAGAAACGGGGAAGACCTACTCGGCGAGCTTCTTGGATTCGCTGTCCACATATCACGAGCCCTCCAAGAGCTGGAACGCCTGAAAATCGTCCATCGTGACGTGGCCGCTCGTAACGTCCTCATCACTGCCGATGACGTGGCCAAGTTGGCCGACTTCGGACTGGCCAGAGACGTCTACGCCACCACTCAGTACGTCAAGACGAACAACCTTGGCGTTGACGAGTTCCTGCCGCTGAAGTGGATGGCGCTGGAGTCCATCGAGACCGGCGAGTACACCTGTCAGAGTGACGTCTGGTCCTTCGGCGTGCTGCTGTGGGAGATCGCCACGCTGGGGAACGATCCGTGCTTTGACGACAAGATTCACCTGAGCTTTCTCCAGATGGTCGGGATCCTGAGGCGGGGGATACGGATGAAGAGGCCGCCGGGATGTCCGGAGGACCTGTACCGACTGATGAGGGCGTGTTGGCGCGACGTTCCTGCTACAAGACCGACTCCAGAAGGGATAGAAGAGAGGCTGTTACAACTGATACGCAATCTGTATCCAGATAATCAATTTGAAATGGAAACTGTGCTCTAATTGATGATTCTATGTTTTTATATGTATTAAAAGCAAGTAATTTAAAGGACTTACTAAAGTTATAGCTAAGTGGAAATGTTTGAGTGCTTTGCTACTTACATGTACCTCTTACTAGTGGAAGCTTTGTTACTTGAAACCTGGATTCTTACGGTTCCTAAGCAATGTAGCATATTGATTCATATCACCAATCTGAAAAATCAGTAACAAAAATGAGAAGATTAGGATCTAACTTATTATGCTACGTTAACCTATATCTACAGATGTATATACATATATTGTGATTACAGATAATGTAGCAACTAGTAGTCTGGAACATTGTTTTTTTAAGAGTGGTCAATTGTACATGTACATGGACATTGTCATTTTCTTTTATGAACTGGCATTTAGCAAATGAAGATTCTTATCATCCTCTGTAATTGTGTTACCTGCTAACACTGTTGTTTAGCATAATTCCCAGGTAAAGTCATTACAGTGTACAAATATATAGATATACACACATTTATTATATGTAGATATTAAAAGCTGAATTGTGAAAAATGGTCTCAAAGTGCAAACTGCCTCAAGGGACAGCAATGACAAATTTTGTCAGCAATGACAAATTTTGTTGAGGGCGTGCTAGTCTAGACTCTAGTATAGACTGTTGTTTGAATACGTAAATGCACTTTATTGGGGAAGTCTTACCCAAAGCGTGTCTGTGCGAACCTTAAATTTGTAACAATCACATTTTTTATTAAACAGGGACACCACATATTAAAAAATTTATGTTTGGCACCTTTACAATCATCAAAAACTTACAGTGTAACTTTAATAAATACCGAGCTCAATAAATCTACAAACTATAGCAAAAAAAGGGGAACGGCACGCTCTAATTACACGTAATTGCTGTATACAAAGACTTTTCAAAGGAGGAACATATCATATTTACTCCACAGAGGAACTCTTGAGTGAATATGTAGTTCCTCTTTGATTGTACGACGACAGTTGTGGGGGAAGTTGCATGAGTAATGTGTACTCTGATACTTAATTTACAAACCCGTGTGTATAAAAATCCGGGCACATAAGGAACCGAGCACCATTTCTAACCAAGGCAGTGGTGCGATCGCAACTTAAGACATGGCGGCAAGAGTACGTTTTGTAGCAACATGTTTTCTGCAGTTTCTCTGCTGTGTCGCCTCTACAACGTTTCGAAAATCTATACCAGAAAACGTCGCTGTCGGTGAAGTCATATTCAACCTTCCGCCCTCGTCGTCGGGAACGGAGGCCGAAGAAAAAGCGGAACTTCCTTGTAGCAAAATCGCGGGCGATCCGGACGGACACTTTAACGTGACGAAAAACTGTTCTATCGTGGTCGCCAAACCGCTGGACTGGTCAGTACAACTGTGGTATAAACTCATAATCTACGATGGAGTACACAACATCAGAGTCGAGGTAGAGTTGACCGACGTTGAGGGCTACCCGCCTCAGGAGTATAACGAAATGTGTGAAACTCCGGTCAACACCGGGCCAGACGAATTCCTATTTCGAGTGAAGTGGAGTTATGAGGCAGTAGTGGACACAGGTGAGGTTATTTTTTCTAGTGTGACTGGTAGCAAAAAAAACAGTGGTAGATGGGTACATTCAACTCAGCCTTCGTGGATATGTCAAGCAGGCAAAAGTGACTGTAGTCTTCGTATCGTTCCGTATATTACCGAACCAAATACGGATCAGTTAAAATCCTTCCAAGGTTTATGGCAAAATAATATCCGCAAGTTGACATGTACCGGACAGCAAAATCAACCCGATTTATCAATCGAATTGTTCAATATTAAAGATGAAGACAGGCCATCAAGACTTGATGAATTACGAAAGGTTGTCCCCAAAAAGTTCATGGACAACGAAATATACAACGTCTTCGTATTGATAAAAGTTGACTCATTGTTTGCAAAAGAAGTACAATCGTATACCTGCAATTTCCCTCCATTTGAACCTTCGGTCACTGTACGCGGAGTTGGACGCGATCTTTCCTTTAAATCTATAGAATATTTGGACATAGAGTTACAGCCAGTAGGATGCCCCGATGGAAAGTACGGCTTACTCTGCGATCGCAACTGCACCTGTCAGAACGGCGCCCGCTGCCACGGGTTTAACGGTGCCTGCAAGTGTCCGCCCGGCTGGGAAGGCGCAGCCTGTGACGTTCCCAAACGGGACATTTCGTTCACCACGACTCCTAGCGACCCTACAAAGATCTACACCTCCGCCAACGTCACATTCCACTGCAAGGCGCACAACCTTGATGTTGAATCTGTATCTCTGACTTTTCCAAATGGATCCGGGAGATCGGCAAAGAGAGAGAAAAACTTGGCAGTGACGATCTCAAACATACAGGCGAAAGACAACGGCACTTATACCTGCTTGGTGAATGATACAGATGGAAACATCTGGAACAAAACACTTGTTTTCAAAATCGTAAATTGTCCACCAAACCGTAAAGGCGCCCTGTGTGATGAGAGTTGTGATTGCCAACAAGGTGGCAGCTGTGACCGGTGGGCCGGTTGTATCTGTCCGCCGGGATGGAACCCGGGAACCAGGTGTCAGACAAAATGTCCGTCTGGCACCTTCGGTAAAGGCTGTGGGAAGAGCTGTAACTGTTTAAACGGTGCGGGCTGTAACCCTGGCGACGGCAAGTGTAGTTGCACTGCTGGGTGGTATGGAAAGAATTGCAGCAAACCGTGTCAAAAGGGTCGGTTCGGTTGGAGTTGTGGCGGCGTTTGTACCTGTAACGTTATGAACAATGCTACGCGTACGTGTAACAACGAGGACGGTAGTTGTACCTGCGTGCCACCATGGACGGGACGAAACTGTGACGAATATGAAGTTCAACACAATGAACCGCTACTCGAAAGTCTGGTACCAGTAGGCTCGGTACTCTTACTCGTTGCCATAGTGGTGGCGATTCTCTATAAAACGCGTATTCTGGCTTGCTCCGCGCCCGACCCGAGTGAGGAAGACAAGATACTTTTTGAACTGAAGAGAATGGAGCAGGATCTAGCACAGAGTCTACAACCGGGCTGGCTGAGACGCTGGGAGAAGAAAGGTCCGCCATCTCACTCCTGGTCCCCTGATAGGGGAAGGGGCGTTTGGACAAGTCAGAAAGGCAGGACTGCGCACGCCTGAAGGAGACCTCGTCGTTGCCGCCAAGACAGTTCGCGTGGAGGACTCGCAGTCCTACCGAGACTTTTACAGAGAAGCAGCTATATTAGTAGCTGTTCACGAACAAAATGGCAATCCTCGCGAGTCCAATATTGTTAAACTTTTGGGACTCATCACCAAGTCTAAAGAGAAGTACATCCTCCTAGAGTATGCTCCAAAAGGCGATCTGCTTGGCTTCCTACGAAGGTTAAAGAACAGAAACGGGGAAGACCTACTCGGCGAGCTTCTTGGATTCGCTGTTCACATATCACGAGCCCTTCAAGAGCTGGATCGCCTGAAAATCGTCCATCGTGACGTGGCCGCTCGTAACGTCCTCATCACTGCCGATGACGTGGCCAAGTTGGCCGACTTCGGACTGGCCAGAGACGTCTACGCCACCACTCAGTACGTCAAGACGAACAACCTTGGCGTTGACGAGTTCCTGCCGCTGAAGTGGATGGCGCTGGAGTCCATCGAGACCGGCGAGTACACCTGTCAGAGTGACGTCTGGTCCTTCGGCGTGCTGCTGTGGGAGATCGCCACGCTGGGGAACGATCCGTGCTTTGACGACAAGATTCACCTGACCTTTCTCCAGATGGTCGGGATCCTGAGGCGGGGGATACGGATGAAGAGGCCGCCGGGATGTCCGGAGGACCTGTACCGACTGATGAGGGCGTGTTGGCGCGACGTTCCAGCTACAAGACCGACTCCAGAAGGGATAGAAGAGAGGCTGTTACAACTGATACGCAATCTGTATCCAGATAATCAATTTGAAATGGAAACTGTGCTCTAATTGATGATTCTATGTTTTTATATGTATTAAAAGCAAGTAATTTAAAGGACTTACTAAAGTTATGGTTGCATGAGAATGTTTGGACCGACGAATGATACACTGACAAATGAATTGTGCTGAATTAGTACGTGGCTTGGTGGCTGAATGTTTGTTCGGGTGCTTTGTTTGTACCGTACCAGTAGAATATCCTATATCGTCATTAGTGTTAGATACTTTGCCTTATATCATAATTATACGTCAGTTTGTTACTTGGAACTTGGATCGCAAGCAATGTATATATTGTTTCATACCAGCAATTTGAAAATCAGTTACAAAATCTTAAGATTACGACCTGATTTTTATCATGCTACGTTGATATGTTTATTTATACCTGCATGTACATATTATGATGTAGTAGTAGTGATCTGGAACAATATTAATGGTTCAACAAAAGCAAGTAATGTAAAGGACTTACTTAGTACTAAAGTTATAGTTAAATGAGGATGTTTGGGTCCTTTGCTACTTAATTCTTACAAGTAAAAGATCCTATATCGTCATTAGTGTTAAACATTGTGCATTCTACGTCTTTTTGTTAGTTGAGACTCGGATTCCTATGGTTCCTAGGCTGAGCAACTAGGTATTTCGATTCATACCACCAATCTTAAAATCAGTCATAAAATGTGAATATTACAATATTATCTATTATGCCACGTTAACCCATATCTATATGTGTATATATCGTGATGTGTATATATTGTGCTTACATATAATTATTAGTCTGGAACATCTACAATTTTATTTAGGGTGGTCAATTGTACATATAGCAAATAAAGATTCTCATTATCCTCTATGAATGTGTTATCTGCTGACATTGGTCGTTCATATAATTCTCACGTAAAAGCATATAATTGTCAGTCTTTCATTGGCTGAACACTAATTGTGACGGACAAATAGACACCTTTCCTTGTGGTAGAAGGAAGCTACAGACGGCAATAAGCAGATTTGGATGACGTCACATATGACGTCATGGCATGTACTAATTTGCATATTAACCAGCTGGTTCCATTCCCATCGACTAACCTGCGTCCTCCCGTATTCAGGAGGCAAACATTACAGCGTTATCACGAGCTGACACATTATTTACATTAAAAACTGTAAAATATATCGTGTAAATTGAGCACTACTTCAGAGCTTGAGCTGAAAGCTCAGGCAAGCTATACAAAATGTGCCTTTGCCACTTAGATTTCATACATTTCACGGAAATAGAGTCTGGCGTTTTAAAAAGCCTCTAAAAGATTCTCTAACTGACGTCACTCCTATGTTTATCTGAGTTTGGCAAAATTCTAGAGCCACCCACATGTTTGCAGACTGAGAACTATCTCATGCTCAGTCCTGATAGCTTAGTTACCTCTTATTCTCATCGAGACATCAAGCATGGCAAACCTCGTCTACGTGGCTCTCTTGGTAGCATCTGTCCTGTTCGCTAATGTGAACGGGTACACGGGACATGGTGAGAGGTTGTTAATAGTCATATGCAAGACTAGAAATGAAAATATATTAGCCATAAAGGTTGTCTTAAATTCATACTGGAACCTGCCATATGGAACAGGGTGCTACGCGCGTAACTTGGTACCAATTGCCAACATGGGAGTATAATTTGGGTGCCAAGTTGTTTTCCTGTTTAGAAAGGTACTGTATCACTCAGTCTTCAGTTTGCGAACCGTTAGTTCAAGGTCCACTTTTGGGGACTGCGATAACCATACATATACATAGGTGCGTTGCTAAAGATTTTTAATGCAAGTTAATAATGGCTTTTGCCGTTTGAAATGTCTAAGTAAGTCACAAAGTAGTAATTTATTAGTGATTTATTCCTTGACTATCGGAACGTCTAATGTTGATGAATATATCTAGTGTTCTTCATATTTCTAAATTTCGTGAATTGACAGGACCGTGTCCAACGAATCCGAACGGTGTGCACTACCAGCCGGGGGACAGTTGGGAGGAAGGCTGCCTAACATGCAGCTGTTGGAACGGTGGATTCGGCTGCGACATGAAGTAAGGGTCGTGTACACCTAGCCTGTGTTATACAATCTTGGTGGCAATTACGTTGGTGGCAATGTGATCTTGTGATTAGGGTTGTTGACTCAGAATCCGACGGTTCTGGGTTCGAATCCAATGCTCTGCCCTTGGGAAAGGCACTTAACACCTATTTTCTCACTTCACTCAGGTGGAAATGAGCACGTGATAGCTTCGGTTAGGGACGTCCCTCTCGGATAGCCACACCTTGAGCACGCGTTAACACATTGAGTACGTTTAAGATCCCACCAAACCTATCGAAAAGAGCAAGGGGAACTCCCGATTTGAGTTGTTCAAGCATTACTGTCTGGTCTCTTGTCTGGTTTTGACCTCTTGAAGATCAGAGGTAATAGTCACCTATTATGTCAATCCTTCCACAAAATGTGGTAAAGCTTCATAAACAAATCTCTCTCTCTCTCTGTCAATGACTGGTTGGGCGTTCTCTCGAGAGCTTGTGGCCATTACTCAAGAAAACCATTCCCATTTCCAGAACTACCAATAGGAGCTCAGGATTCTTTATCACTATGGTTTGGTATACCACAATGCTCTGCATGTTCAACTGTTTGTTCAACCTCCCTGATGGTATAATGAAGGAAGGCAACTTTTTTCACACTCCCGCATAAGTTGTGGGGTCCTCAGTGGATGCCATCCACATAGTAATCGAATCAATATGAAAACACCACGCATCATCATCATTCCAGGGTACTGTCGTGGAGGAATCCTCCCTTTCTGATTGGTAAAAAACAAAGCAACTTTTTCTTTTACTTGACAACAATTATGTAGAGGTTGTACTCTACATGTACTACTTAGTATCTGTTTGGGAACGCATTGCAGACATCGGGACGTCCCTGTAAATGTGCATATATATATATATATATATGTAAATACTTTGCGTGACTTACCAACCTGATGAAACTATTCACAGTCTATGCATCCGTCAATGTTCATTGTTAGCCTCTACCAGGCTCCGGGATCAAGAGGCGGCTGGAAAAGTAGAAATCGGCCAAATAGAGAGACAAGGGAGTTGGTCTGCTGGAGAGAACAGCTTGCCGCTCCCGAAGACTGGTAGAGGCTAGTCATTGTGCTAATATACATAACTGTATTTGTTTCCATGTGCCCAGGTTTCCTACTTGTGAGTATCCCGAAGGTTGCGTGAAGGTGTATGATGATAACGGCTGTGAGCTGATGGCCGTTGACCAAGCTAACGAGGTCTGCGACCCAATAATCTGCATGATTGCCGGGAAGTAAGCTTGTAGCAGCGCCGTTCATCGCCACGGCTGTCCAACGATGCATTAAAGCACATGTATACCACACAATCCTGTCCGCGTGACGTTTTCAATGCCAACAGGCAATGTGGGGACTAAACTGTTACTTATTCTTATTACTATAATATTAGGTCACATTTCGTGGGCCCAACCGGACTTTTTTGAGTGAATGAAAAATAAACATTCGAATGAACAATGATCCCAACTGTAACCCTAGCCCTAAACACCTGACCTCTCACGTATGTGGCAGCTCAAGGATTTGGCTCAACACCGGGGCCCGGGCAGGGAAATGTGACCTCACTATAAGTGAGCTCTCCTTGGTACTGATTGGCCATTTATACAGACAGCTGACAACCCGATCAGAGCACATATAGATAGATCCCACAGCCTAGCAAAGACACATTATTTGACATGTGTAAATATTACATATGATGACATTTGCTAGTACAGTATAAATCTCGTTTTTGAACAGCCGACTTCTGAATTATGAACGTATGTTCGGCCTGACACGTGTTGATGCCATCTAAGGAGGTCCTTATCCTTTGTTGTAGACACCGTTGCATTAAGTGTAACGGTCATCTGTTTGAAGTTGTAGGCCTTGACTTGAACACCCATTAGTAGCAAAACATTGCAGAACTTGTTGGTTATGCAACAAGGGTGATCTCTTACGAGGGGAAAAGTTGCTGAAACGGATGAGAAGAAATGTTATTTGTACGTCTATCGCAGACAGAATTCGAAGAAACATTCAAGGACTATGGTTAGCTTTGACAGTTAGTGATGACCCTACCGGCAGATTTTAATGTAACAGAATTGAAGAAGTAGCGAACTCTTCTGCCGGATCTACCGTAGTGTGTCTTGAAAGTTCGCAGACAGGCAACCTTTAATTGTCACCCTCTCATTGCATGGTTGAACACTAATTGTGATGGGCACCAACTATCAGACACTGCGGTAGAAGGTAGCTACAGACGGCAATAAGCAAATTTGGATGACGTCATGGCATATGCTGATTTGCATAACCACCTGCTTCCATTCCCATCGACTAACCTGTGCCCTCCTGTATTCAGTAGTATCCGACACATTATTTACATTGAAAACTGTAAAATATATCGTGTAAATTAAGCACTACGTTCGATTCAGAATTTCTACTGAAAGCTCAAGCAAGCTGTACGTGCCTGTGCCAATTAAATTCCATATATTTCATGGAAATAGGCATTAAGAAGTCTCTAAAACGTCAATCCTAAGCTTATCTCAGATCGAGAGAAGCATCGGCAACGATACGTCCGATTCAGAGTTCAACTGAAAGTTCAAGCAAGCTATACATACCTGCGCCACCCACATGTTTACTCACGCCTATATAAACATAAGCTGCAAACTTAGAACTTTCTCAGTCCAGACAGCTTAGCTAGTTCTCATCCGTTACGCAGAGAATAAGCATGGCGAACCTCGTCTACGTGGCTCTCTTGGTGGCATCGGCTGCACTCGCTAATGTGAAAGCCGGGTACGTGGTACAAGGTGAGAGGTTGTTAATAGCAAAAACTGAAAATGATCATTATACATGTTAGTCATAAAGGTCGTCTTAAATTCCACACTGGATCCTGCCATATGGAACAGGGCATTACTAGATACAAAATTGGGTGCTTTTTCTGTTTTGAAAGGAACTATATCAGTCTTCAGTTTGCGAGCTGTTAGTTCAGGGTCCACTTTTAGGGACTGCGATAACCATTCATAGGTACAATGCTCAAGATTTTTAATGCAAGTTAAAAATGGCTTTTTCCTTTTGAAATGTCTAAGTAAGTTGTCATTATAGTGATTTATTTCTTGACTACTGAAACGTCTAACTTTCATGAACATATCTAGTGTTCTTCATATTTCTAAGTTTCGTGCATTGACAGAACCGTGTCCAACGAATCCGAACGGTGTGCACTACCATCATGGGGACAGTTTCGAGGAAGGCTGCTTCAGATGCAACTGTTTTGCCGGTGGATACAGCTGCGTCGAGATGTAAGGGTGGTGTTCACAATCTTAGGGGCAATTACCTAATTGGTGGCAATGCGGTCCTGGTGGTTAGGGTTGTGGCCGCAGAACACAGTATTGAGGGCCTGCAAGGGGGGGGGGGGTCAGCTCTACGCTGAATTCGGAAACCCTCGATTACGCTTTACGATAAATTCCAAGTGGCTACAACGCATTACGTAGAATTAAAACGGCGAATACGCTCTACGCAAAATGCGAAGAACGGTCCGTCTACGCTCTATACGTAGAATTAGAACGGCCGATTACGCTCTACGGAAAAGGGCTTGCAGTAATTATGGGCGACCCCCGAGGGTCTATGACGCAGGTATAGAAAGTAGTGCAGACAAACCTCTTGCATCCTTGCTAGAGCGATTTATGAGAGAGGTAGCCATGAATGAACTGCGCTGTGTGGTATAGAAAGGTATCGGCTTGTACACCGTATGAGTTGGATTGTGAAGATTTCCCTGTTCGTGTATAAATGCGCGGCATTACGCAACCACGTTCCAGGGTGAGCCGGCTGCAGTTCCGTTCACCCGGTAGAGGGCCAAATCAAAGTGGTCGTCATTATGTTAAAAAACGATAACTTTTTTTGGTTTTCAGTTATTTTGTAGAATATACCGTATATTTCAACATAGTTGGCTGTGATTCTCTAGTGCACCCTACTATAATTTTTACCGCGTCGAAGTGAGTCACCTTGGGGTGCTTAACTATAGGAATCCCCATAGGGCGAAAACTGTGTTCTGCCACCTTACCACCATGCTCTGCGTGTTTAACAGTTTGTTCAACCTCCATGATGACATAATGAAGGAAGGCAATTTTTTTAGCACGCCCGCTTCATCAGTTTTGGGGTCCTCAGAGGATGTCATCCATATTATCGAGTCAGTATGAAAACACTATGCATCGTCATAAAAACAAAGAAATTTTCTATCTGTACATTAATTATGTAGCAATGTGAAACAGTCAGAATTGCCCTGAGGAAGGCTACATTATGTAACAAGGTGAATGCTAGAACTTGCTACGTGCTTGCTGGCAATATGAGAGCATTCTTAAAGGTCTAAATACTTTGCACTTTACTAAACACCTATGCTGTGTAATGTGAAACAGTCAGCTAGGAGGAAGGTCACCGAAACGTCGGCTGAATACATGGTTGCGTACATTCAGTGACTAACCAACCTGATGAAACTGTTCATTGCACTAATGATACATACCTGTATTTGTTTCCACGTGTCCAGGTTCTCTAACTGTCAGTATCCTGAAGGTTGTATGAAGGTGTATAACGACAACGGCTGTGAGTTGATGGCCGTTGACCAGGCGAACGTGGTCTGCCACCCGACATTCTGCGCGCTGAAGTGAGCTGGTAGCAGCGCCGTTCATCGCCACGTCTGACCAATGAGGCATTAAAGCACATGTATACCACACAAACATGTCCGCATGACGTTTTCAATGCCAACAGGCAATGTGGGGACTAACTGCTACTTATGCTTAATAGGTCATCTTTCGAAACTGGGGCGCGACCGGACCTAAGTCAAGGAAAAATATAAACATTCGAATGAACAATGATCGGAACTCTAACCCTAACCCTAACCCTAACCCTAACCCTAAACACCTGACCTCTCACGTATGTGGCAGCTCAAGGATTTAGCTTAACACCGGGGCCCGGGCGGGGAGTGAGCTCTCCTTGGTACTGATTGGCTATTTATACAGACAGATGACAACCCGATCAGAGCACATATAGATAGATCCCACAGCCTAGCCAAGAGACATTATTTAACATGTGTAAATATTACTTGAGATGACACATTTGCCGGTACAGTAACAATCTCGTTTTTGAACAGCCGACTTCTGAATTATCCACATATGTTCGGCCTGACACGCGTTGATGCCATCTGAGGAGGGCCTTGTCCTTTGTTGTAGACACCGTTGCATTAAGTGTAACGGTCATCTGTTTGAAGTTGTAGGTCTTGACTTGAACACCCATAAGTAGCAAAACATTGCACAACTTGTTGGTTATGCAACAAGGGTGATCTCTTACGAGGGGAAAAGTGGCTGAAACGGATGAGAAGAAATGTTATTTGTACGTCTATCGCAGACAGAATTCGAAGAAACATTCAGGGATTATAGTTAGCTTTAACAGTTAGTGATGACCCTGCCGGCAGACTTTCATGTAACAAGATTGAAGAAGTAGCGAACTCTTCTGCCGGATCTACCGTAGTGTGTCTTGAAAGTTCGCAGACAGGCAACCTTTAATTGCCACCCTCTCATTGGTTGAACACTAATTGTGATGGACACCAACTATCAGACACTGCGGTAGAAGGTAGCTACAGACGGCAATAAGCAAATTTGGATTACGTCACATATGACGTCATGGCACATGCCGATTTGCATAACCACCTGCTTCCATTCCCATCGACTAACCTGTGCCCTCCCGTATTCAGTAGTATCCGACACATTATTTACACTGAAAACTGTCAAATTTATCGTGTCAATTAAGCTCTGCGTTCGATTCAGAATTTCTACTGAAATCTCAAGCAAGCTGTACGTGCCTGTGCCACTTAAATTCCATATATTTCATGGAAATGGGCCTTAAGAAGTCTCTAAAACGTCAATCCTAAGCTTATCTCAGATCGAGAGAAGCATCGGCAAAATATACGTCAGATTCAGTTCAACTGAAAGTTCAAGCAAGCTATACATACCTGTGCCACCCACATGTTTACCTCACGCCTATATAAACATAAGCTGCAAACTTAGAACTTTCTCAGTCCAGACAGCTTAGCTAGTTCTCATCCGTTACGCATAGAACAAGCATGGCGAACCTCGTCTACGTGGCTCTCTTGGTGGCATCGGCTGTACTCGCCAATGTGAAAGCCGGGTACGTGGTACAAGGTGAGAGGTTGTTAAAAGCAAAAACTGGAAATGATCATTATATATCGGTTAGTCATAAAGGTTGTCTTAAATTCCACACTGGATCCTGCCATATGGAACAGGGCATTACTAGATACAAAATTGGGTGCTTTTTCTGTTTTGAAAGGAACTATATCAGTCTTCAGTTTGCGAGCTGTTAGTTCAGGGTCCACTTTTAGGGACTGCGATAACCATTCATAGGTACAATGCTCAAGATTTTTAATGCAAGTTAAAATGGCTTTTTCCTTTTGAAATGTCTAAGTAAGTTGTCATTATAGTGATTTATTTCTTGACTACCGAAACGTCTAACTTTCATGAACATATCTAGTGTTCTTCATATTTCTAAGTTTCGTGAATTGACAGGACCGTGTCCAACGAATCCGAACGGTGTGCACTACCATCCGGGGGACAGTTTCGAGGAAGGCTGCTTCAGATGCCGCTGTTTTGCCGGTGGATACAGCTGCGACGAGATGTAAGGGTGGTGTTCACAATCTTAGGGGCAGTTACCTAATTGGTGGCAATGCGGTCCTGTGGTTAGGGTTGTGGCCGCAGAACACAGTATTTATGGGCGATCCCCGGGGGGTCTATGACGCAGGTATAGAAAGTAGTGCAGACAAACCTCTTGCATCCTTGCTAGAGCGATTTATGAGAGAGGTAGCCATGAATGAACTGCGCTGTGTGGTATAGAAAGGTATCGGCTTGTACACCGTATGAGTTGGATTGTGAAGATTTCCCTGTTCGTGTATAAATGCGCGGCATTACGCAACCACGTTCCAGGGTGAGCCGGCTGCAGTTCCGTTCACCCGGTAGAGGGCCAAATCAAAGTCGTCGTCATTATGTTAAAAAACGATAACTTTTTTTGGTTTTCAGTTATTTTGTAGAATATACCGTATATTTCAACATAGTTGGCTGTGATTCTCTAGTGCACCCTACTATAATTTTTACCGCGTCGAAGTGAGTCACCTTGGGGTGCTTAACTATAGGAATCCCCATAGGGCGAAAACTGTGTTCTGCCACCTTACCACCATGCTCTGCGTGTTCAACAGTTTGTTCAACCTCCATGATGACATAATGAAGGAAGGCAATTTTTTTAGCACGCCCGCTTCATCAGTTTTGGGGTCCTCAGAGGATGTCATCCATATAATCGAGTCAGTATGAAAACACTATATATGCATCGTCATAAAAACAAAGAAATTTTCTATCTTTACATTAATTATGTAGCAATGTGAAACAGTCAGAATTGCCCTGAGGAAGGCTACATTATGTAACAAGGTGAATGCTAGAACTTGCTACGTGCTTGCTGGCAATATGAGAGCATTCTTAAAGGTCTAAATACTTTGCACTTTATATATATAATTACTAAACACCTATGCTGTGTAATGTGAAACAGTCAGAATTGCTAGGAGGAAGGTCACCGAAACGTCGGCTGAATACTTGTACATTGCGTACATTCAGTGACTAACCAACCTGATGAAACTGTTCATTGCACTAATAATACATACCTGTATTTGTTTCCATGTGTCCAGGTTCCCTACCTGTCAGTATCCCGAAGGTTGTGTGAAAGTGTATAACGACAACGGCTGTGAACTGATGGCCGTTGACCAGGCGAACGTGGTCTGCGACCCGATAAGCTGCGTGCTGAAGTGAGCTGGCAGCAGCGACGTTCATCGCCACGTCTGTCCAACGACGCATTAAAGCACATGTATACCACACAAACATGTCTGCATGACGTTTTCAATGTTAACAGGCAATGTGGGGACTAACTGCTACTTATGCTTAATAGGTCACATGTCGAAACTGGGGCGCGACCGGACCTTTTTTAAGTGAAGGAAAAATATAAACATTCGAATGAACAATGATCCCAACTCTAACCCTAACCCTAACCCTAAACAACTGACCTCTCACGTATGTGGCAGCTCAAGGAAATTTGGCTCAACACCGGGGCCAGGGCAGGGAAATGTGACCTCTCCTTGGTACTGATTGGCCATTTATACAGACAGCTGACAACCCGATCAGAGGACATATAGATAGATCCCACAGCCTAGCCAAGAGACATCACTTGACATATGTAAATGTTACTTCAATGTCGTTTTTGAACAGCCGACTCCTGAATTATGAACGTATGTTCTGACACGTGTTGATGCCATCTGAGGAGGTCATTGTTCTTTGATTGCTGCAGACACCGTTGCATTATGGGTAACGGCCAGCTGTCTCAGGTTGTAGGTCTTGACTAGAACACCCATAACATACATTGTAAGCAGCAAAACATTGCACATCTTGCTGGTTATATAACAAGGGTGAGTTTTTACGAGGCCCCAAGTGGTTGAAATTGTTTTGAAGAGATGCTGTAACTAGCTACGTTGCTTGCAAAGTAAAGAGCATTCTATCACAGACAAAAGAAACATTCAAGGATGATAGTTAGCTGTAACAGTTAGTAATGACCATATACTGATTTGCATAACCAGCTGATTGTACTCCCATTGACTAACCTAGCTGTGTCCTGTGCCCCCCCCCGTAAACATTACAGTACAGTGTTATCACGAGCTGGCACATTATTTACATTAAAAACTGTAAAATATATCGTGTCAATTAAGCTCTACGTTCGATTCAGAGTTTCAACTGAAAGCTCAAGCAAGCTATACGTGCCTGTGCCACTTAGATTTCATATATTTCATGGAAGTAGGTCTTAAAGAAGTCTGTAAAACGTTAATCCTAAGTTTATCTCAGATCGAGAGAAGCATCGGTGGACGTCTGTAGAATTTGTAGAGCCGCCCAATTGTTTGCTCACGCCTAGTATATAAACATAAGCTGCAGACATAACTTTCTCAGTCCAGCTTAGCGCAAGGGAACAAGCATGGCGAACCTCGTCTACGTGACTCTCCTTGTGGCATCTGTCCTGCTTGCTAATGTGAATGGGTTCACGGTACAAGGTAAGAGGTTGTTAGTAGCAAAGAATAGAAATGAATATGTTCGTCTATACAAAAGCGTTAAACGTTGTTTCAAATTTCAAAGGTTGAACCTTCCATATGGAACAGAGTGGGGCATGTGCGGACTGCAAAAAGGTGCTTCTTCTTTTGGTGTTTAGAACAGTTCAATGTTAAGTTTACGTGGCGTTATCATACTGTCAATAATGACTTATGCCATTTCAAATGTCCAAGAAATCCGAACTAGATTTAAACTGTTGTGTTGGAAAGGATATCGCCTGCAAGGGGCAAAACTCTGAAGTAACATTGATCAAATATTCAACTAAAACTGTGAAAATGTAGCCTCTACCAGGCACCGCAGATCGCTGGAAAAATAGTAGAAATTGGCCGAAATAAAGGGATAGCAAATTGGAGCTTCTATGGCCCTGGATCTTCTCTGGTATACTATCCCTTTATTTCGGCCAATTTCTACTATTTTTCCAGCGATCCGCGGTGCCTGGTAGAGGCTAGCGAAAATGTGCAGTACTTAGATTAGGTTCTGTCGACGGTGCTGTGTTATTCATGTTTCTTGAATTGCCAGGACCGTGCCCAGATGACGAGAACGGCAGGCCCCACCAGCCCGGAGACACGTGGCAGGAAGGCTGCTACAGGTGTGACTGTTGGGGCGGTGGATACGGCTGCAACCAGTGGTAAGGGCCGTTTATATAGCCTCACCCGGTTGGGGCCAAGTACACTCTAGCAGATCAACTCCCGCGGCATGTCATCTCTCTCTATTTGGCCAGTTATTGCAATGTCTACTCTTTCCCGAAGCCTGGTAGAGGCTACAGTTTATACAGTATCTCTCGCCGTAAGGAAATGGTCGGGCCTCCTTCACGAGAGCTTGTGGCCATACACCCCAAACTCGAGAGAGCTATTCCCATTTCCACTCCAGAACTACCACTAGGAGCTCAGGATTCTTGATCGCTTTGAAAATCTGACCAATAGGCGCTCAGCATGCTCTGTCACTATGGAAACCAGTCATCACAGCCTCAACACTCCTGTTTGGTTATACTCTGTGTTCCTGACAACCGTAGTATATTTCGTAACGAAGGCAATCGTTTTTTCTCATCCAAGAAAGGTAACATTTGCAAAGCAAATGCACAATGTTTACCTTCGCACATGGTCTGCTCTGTTAATTCTTACTCAAACACATTCATATAATTATGTGGTCAGACAGGAGTCTAAATCCCTCCTGCTATATAAAATTGCAACATGATGTAACCCAACACTAGTCACCATGATGACAGACGTCTGGTTCGAGTCATTGACCTTATTGGTTTGGAGAAGAGGAAATCGAGCAATAAAAACAACATTCATCAATATCTTCATTGTGCTGACCATACGTACCTGTATCTGTGTGTCCAGGCTCCCTACCTGCTCGTATCCTGAAGGCTGTGTGAAGGTGTATGATGATAACGGCTGTGAGCTGATGGCCGTTATGGAGAACCAGGCGGACGCGGTCTGCGACCCGATAAGCTGCTGGATGGTGGGAAAGTAAGCCGGGGACATCTAGAGCTGTGCCAGTCGCTACGACTGTCCAATGATGCATTAAAGCACGATGTATATCACAACTGTGCTCGCTTCAACTTTTTCAATAGCAACAGGCAATGTGCAGACTATGTACTAAACCATTGGTCTAACCGGGGCCCGGCCGGGCTGTTTGCGTGATCGTAGGAACAAAATATAAACAACTCATATCAGCAATACACACAGATTGTACTGATGATTATTATTTTCATTTTGTTTTGTGTTTGTTATCTATTATGTCACATTTTATGTTCTTGACAACTGCCCGGCCGGGCCCTGGGGTGGAGATTGTGACCTTAGCATAAAGGAGCTCTCCTTGGTACTGATTGGTCATCTACAGAGGCAGCTGACAACCCGATCAGAGGCTGATCCATAGCCCCGCCCACCTCCACCAAAATGTTTGAAGAACATGCAGCCGCTCTCTCATTGGTTGAACCACAAGTTGCATTGTTATCATTGGTTGAACCTGTAATTGGATAGTCAGGGTCATATTTCAACGTATTCAAGAAATCTAATAGTTTCTATCATTACGAGGGTATAGGTAAATCCATTGTTTTCTTCTTCTCAATGCAATCTGTGGTGTTTTTTCCATGCCCATAATTTATTTCCCCAATAAACTAGGGTCTTTTTATGACATGTATAAATCCTACCAAATATATCATATTTGCTAGTAAAACACATATCTCATTTTTGAACTACCGACTCTATGTTCAGCCTGACTCGCGCGTTGATGCCATCTGAGGAGGTCCTTGTTCTTTGTTGTAGACACCGTTGCATTACGGGTACCGGTCAGCTGTCTCAGGTTGTAGGTCTTGATTTGAAACACCCGCAAAGCAACACGACATTGCACAACTTGCTGTTTATGTAAGAAGGGTGATTTCATAAGTGTGAAAAGTGACTGAAATGGAGTGAAGAGCATTCTTGAAGCTCTCTATCTCTCTCTATCACAGAAAGAAGAAATGTTCAAGATTGAAAGGTAAAACTTCAAGAGGTTAGTAAAGACCCCTAGGTGCAGAGTTAGCAGGAAATATGAAGAAGTTGCAAACTCTCGTTAGAGTCAAGGGTGTAAGAATCAGCCGTAGCGTGTCTTGAAAGTTTGCAGACAGAAGTTGAGGCATATTAATTATAAGGTGCAAGATTGGTTGCATGGGATAAGGGTTGTATGTTGCTTCAGATTAGGGCTATGCTTTGTGTGGTTGCAAGCATCGGGGAGTGACTTTCCTGGTAAGGCACACATAGGACATTAAAGAATGCAGCACACAGTTTGTGCCCAAGTTTCACCCAGCTTTCTCCGTCTAACAGCGGAGCTTGCATCGCAGGAGTCATGGCACAGGTTTGGCATGGGTGTCTCTGGCTTTGAGGGACAAAATGACATGGCACAACAGTAAAACCACATGGACAGCTGAGCTCGGATGCTCCATGAAGCATATTTATTCACCACAAACCTCTCTGAGATCCACAAAGCCATCTTGTTAACCAACAAAAGACTCAGAACGGTGACACACAGCACACACAAACGCAGCTGTGGGTTTCTTCTTCATACAACAGTTTCAGGAACAAAAGAAATTAAAGAGAAACTAAGGAAATCTTGTAGCAATGTACTAGTAACAGCTACAATGTGTTCACTTTTTACCACCTTTACAGTACATCACAGGTCTTCTGCAGAAATCAGAAGACGGCAATGCTTCTGAAATCTTGAAAGATACATAAGAAAATCGCCAAAGCAAACGGACATCTTAAATGTATGTAAGAACAGATACACGTCAGCCCTCATCTGCAATAATCAGCCATCATCAGCATATGTCAGATGTTAACAAAGAACATCAGACATCGTCAAACAGACATCGACGTACATCTGCAAAAAATCATTCTTGTTCATGGCATCAACCTGTTGCTCTTACTCAATAATCTTCCTATAAAGCAGTCTAAGGTATTCATGGCTGACGATTTTCTTCTCTACATGGCTGTAATACATTGGTCTATTTTGTCTCCTACAACAATGTACACAAGGATATTCTCCTCATCACTATCGTCATGTAATCCACAATCCTGGTCAAAGTAGGACAGGCCAGTGATCTGAGAAAAAGAAGTAGAAAAAAGAGAAAAGAAGAGATTGTAGGGCGAAGTGTGTTCAAACGGATCAGATAGTCGATTCCCAGGGGATATAGGAAACAGTAAAGAAAAGACAGCATGCCATCAGTGACTCGAGTCAATGATAAACGATCATCAACATAGCACATCGCCATCCACGTGGCCACAGGTACATAAGATTAACACTTGCAGATGAGCTCACAAAAGCACTGGGTCTGTTGCCATGGTGACACAGGTATGTTACCATTGTGACAAAGTCTGTTGCCATGGTGACATAGGTCTGTTGCCATGGTGACATAGGTCTGTTGCCATGGTGACATAGGTCCTTCAAACATATGCCCAGTGAGCAAACGCCTGCATCTTTTTATAGAAGTTCTTGAGCAGGATTTCCTTCCACGGACAAGCCATCTCCTCATCTTTACCTGCTCCTCAAGTCTAGGATCCTTACAGGTAGTGTCTGCCGATTGCTTCTTTATCCAACTTCCACATATTTGCTTCATTCTCAGTCTATGTGCGGGGATTAAATTCTTCTTAGGTCTTGACATCAGTACTAAAGAAACGGCACAGCATTACAAGTAACTTGTTACTGCTATAATAAGGACTATGGCTAGTATATTATTACAAACATAAATTTATTCTTTATATTTCTTTAAATAATTCAATCAACATCTGTCTGTGCCTGAGCAAAATATGAACATCTTGTGAGACCACATCATTTCTCAAAGATGCGAGCTGACAAAAACAAAAAATGAGCAAGATATGTCCCCTATTACTAGCTTCGTAAATAAAGATGTGGCAATGGTTTTGGTACTTGGATGTGACATGTGTAGTGTCACAACAGCTATCCCCATGATACAAACTTCAAAGTGAATCCAAAGGAAATCATCTTTCTAAACTTAATAATCCAAGTACCGGTAGTATGCGACGAAACAACGTAAACCCTGTTATCATTTTCTTCGTCCTCCACGAGTCGACTTCCGTGCAGTTTTGCGCCCACCTCTACGAGCTGGGCCGACTTGACCTGAACTCGACACGTCCGGAGAGCTTGAATGTAGGTCCTGGGTTGGTCTTACCGGAGTCGACGGGCCTTGTTTGCACGAATCTGATTCGCTGTCCACTAGTTTGGTACCTTCTTGGATGTTTTCTTCAACTGCATCTTTATGATTTGATTCGACCTTAGGGACTTCTTGGGAAGTTTTGTCGTCAAAGTTTTCTGTCAGGTACTCCTCTATCTCACTCATGAGGCTGGGGGTGCCCGCTCGGGTTAACTTCTTGTCCCCCGATTCATCATCACAATCTCCCTTGTCCCTAACTGTTGTCCCATCCTCCAACTCCTTGGCATCAATTTGGTCTCCATGGCCAAAGCCATGTGCATTCTCGCCTGTATCTACGTCTAACGAAAAACTGTTGACGATTCTGATGTTCATTGTGTCCTCGGCTGGACTGTTGTTGTCTTGGACTTCCATCACCTCGAAGCCTGGACCGTCCATGAGGCTGGATATGTTGTAAGCTTGCACGTTGCTTGTCGTTGTTGTTGTTGTTGGCCACACTTCAGTAAATGATGCTGACTCCATCTGGCCCTCTGTCACTTCCTCACCATGACTTGTTTCCGTTCCTGCTGCTTCCATAGGCAAATAACCTGCAACACTGGCAACCCCTGACGCACTTAGTGTGACTAACGGTTCCACTTCAGTTGGGCCTTTGACACATTTTCCGTCCTTTACACAGGTTGATTTCTCCAATTCTGCCTGCAAAAATACAATCCTATCCATAAGATAAAAGTATTGACGGCATCACGTTGCAATTTTAATCTCTGTTGGATAAACAAAATAGCACAGTCTAGGGTGTGAATGAACAATATTAGATATAAGTACAGTACATTATATGAAACAACAACAAACCAGATAAGTAACATTTGCAAAGCAAATGCATAATGTTTACCTTCGGACATGGTCTGCCCTGGTAATTTTTAACACATTCAGATACATGTACTACGAGTATATGGTGACAGGAGCAGAGCAGACCATGAAATTGCAACATTATGTAACCCAACACCAGTCACCATGGTGGCAGACGTCAACAAATCATGTCATTGGCCAGGTCAGAGGTTAGTGTTTGGAACAAAAGAGGAGGAAGAAACTGAGTAAAAACAATATGTTTATGAGCATAATATGACTATTTCAATCAGGAATGAATCTTTTAGAGAGCAATTATGAAGTGATGAAACCCTCTTTCAAAAAAAAAGTTCAGGCAATGTTAGGCTTGTATTCAAGGTTAACAGACTAAAAGATGGTAAACAGACCCAGTATGAACTTTTTTGTGTTGGACAAAAAGTTTTAACTCTAAACATATAACACATATGTTGTCAATTTTCACCTTAACATTGTTGTAGTGTAGTTGTGACTTGCAATGTCCGTCGATGGCAGATGTCTCGTTCTTGTAGAACTTGTGGCACAGCTTACAGAAGTAGCCGGTTATGGGGATCACAAACTCCTGACCTGTTGGGGTAACAATGACAACATCAACAACAACAACAACAAAAGAAAGTAAGTTCATTCACTATACTGACAAATATGGCATTCTATACGAGCAATCGCTGTGTTTGTTACATCATATACATGCAATATTTTTGAAGACATATGCAAATTATTGGTAGGCAAATCACCCAAACAGTCACCCGCTTATGTATACCATTCACTGGTTACGACATTATGGCAATCACTCATAATTAAGCTAAACTGTGTACATGTAAAGTTGATAGCTGGACCTTTTTACTCATCTGTCACAAGGCTCTGTATTTCTTCCTTCCTACAACATTTACGTAGCAACTGAATCAGCAGAATATCATCCAAATCTTTGCTCCAGGTTTCATCAACTTTGTACATAGAATTGACAGGTCTCCAAAGTCTACTGACCTACGGCACAATCTGGATCATATGGCGGGAAGACAAGTTCCTCTACAGCTTCTTCAGTCTGTATGTCTTCACTGGCATCTACATTAGTTGTGCCCTTCACACTTTCTGGTTGTGCATCTATTGCCTCCTTGGTTTGGTTCGCTGCTGTGTTCTCCAAGTCCTGAACTTGTGTATCTGTTGTAGGTTTTGTCTGGACCAAAGTCTCTATCTCTTCCTGTGTCTCTTCTGTTGGCAGTACTGTGGTGTCCTCTGTATTTCGTGCCTGTGTTGAAGCTTCCATTTCATCATGGGTGGTGTCCTCTGCATCCTGCACTTGTGCCTGTGTGGCTTCTTGCCTCAGGACTTTGGTGTTGTCCTTGTCCTGTGGTTGGGTCTGCAACGTTTCCTCTGATTCTGCGACCTGTGCGGGTGTCGGCTGTTTGTTTTCTTCAACTTCCATCTCTGAAGACTCTTGCAAACAGTCCTCCACAGCTCCAGGTTCTTCCTCAGCTCGCAAGTTTTCCTTCTCGTCATCCAACTGTGTTTCTTTGGTTTCCCGAGTTTCCAACTCTTGAGGTTGACTTGCAGCATCAGTCCCCATCTCTTCCTGAGTCGAGTTCTCCTCTTCCCTCAGTGTTGTCTCCGGTCTAGGAGACACTGGTGTGGTAACACTGACACTCTCCTGTTGCTCTTCATCCTGCATCTTTGTTGGAGCTGTACATATAGGATAACATACTTCAGTATAATGCTGTCTGAACACTGTACATGATTTTAACATCCTGGTGGTTTTATTTCATGGTAAAAGTTGCTAAAAGGGAAAAGGAGTTTTTAGCAGTGTTTGAAGTTTGTGGCTGAAACAATTCTGTCTGCCACCTTCCTCAGGGCAATACTGACTGGTTCTACTGTGTATGTAATCAATCTATATGGACAATACCCTATGTTTGGGACTGCATTTGTAACACAGCAGTAGCGACGCCTAGCTGCAGTACAAAGTACAAATGTAGAATCAGTCAGTACTGCCCTAAGGAAGATGACAGACATTTATTTTTTGGTTGTGAATGACAAACTTTGTTACAACTTTGCTACAGAACATTGCGGACTTCTGATACACCCCGTGAAGGTTGGAAATGTTACCTTGGATCTGGTCTTGGATGTTGAAGACCATTGGAGGAGGTCCTGACATCTGTCTGAGATCTATGTCTTGAGAAGGCAGGTCTGCCAATGAGAACTCCTCCTCCTCTGTCTTGGGCTGTAAGCCGATGTCTTCAGATGGAATGTCTCCAGATCTAGATATTTCCTCCTCAGCATCTTCTAAGTCACCTTTTTCTCCATTGCTCTGTGGATGTACAAAGTTAGAGTTGCAAGGGTTAGATGTCATAGGTTATTCTGAATCGTGAAATGTTTGTAGTGGTTTTACTTTTTGAGGCTTTTGCAGTGTCCTCTTAACATGAAATTATGACACTGCCGGTATGTTTTGTATTTCATTTGTACTACAGCATGGTTTCAAACATGGTTTTCAGAAACTGCAAAAACCTCCTCTCTTTATCATTTTACTGCAAAATAAAACAAAAAAGGAAATGCACTTACAGTTCCGACATAAAAAGCTGCAATTGTATCACCACAAATACAAACACCTTCCTGAGACAAGGCTTTGTATTTGTACATAATTACCATTCAAAGAAAATGTTAGGATATCGGGCATTTCTCTGGAATTGTACAGCCAATTTTCAATAGTGTGTAAAACTAAACATAACTGTCCGTTTCAGGAACAGTGATGGTCATATAATATATAGTACTAAATGAAGTACGGATAAAATTTCTATAGATCATAGAGTGGTACATAAAATACCAGAACCATCTTGTAGAACAACATTCCTAAAAAAATGCATTCGTACCTCAAAGACCTCCTTAGAGAGATCTTCCTCCCCGGCCTCTTTACTGTCTCCCAAGTCTTCATCGTCACTGTCGAAGCACCCAACAGCGTCTACCGTCACCATCTCCTCAGGATTGTCTGGGAACCATTCCTCGTCTTGTCCTGTCTTCTTCTTCTTCTCCTGGGCCTCACGGAACTTCTGTAGTCAGAAAAGTAAAAAACACAGACAGCTGTGAGCAAGGATATTATATCGTATCTGTATATAATGTCCTTGCTGTGGTGGTAAAGATACAGTGCTGAACCCTGATTAGGCCACAGCAAGTAATTTTTATGGATGACATCAGCGCGCGCATTAATTTTCACCTGATTTTGGAAAAAAAAAATTTGTTGCCTTCTGACAGGGGTCACCATGCCAAATATGGGAAAAGATGTCTGTTGCCATGCCGGAAGGTGGATGGCAGATAAATATGAAGGGAGGAGACAAGCAAAGACTGATTTAATGTTTTGTTTCTTACTTTGATGCATGTGATGTTGGCTGTGTATATGTGATGTTCCCACTCAATCAAAACCATTTGTACAATGATTGAGTCAAAATTTTAAAAAGTAGGGACCTTGTTTTTTCGGCCCGTCTTGTTTTTTTTTCGCGCTTGCATTAGATTTGGAGTCTGCGGAGGATGTCATCCATAAAATTTACTTGCTGTGTCCTTATGTTTCCTTCCCACGCATTTTACACACAGTCTTAAAGTTTATTTCTCAGGCCTGACTCTTTCTCAGAAGGGTATAACATGCCTTTCCTGAAAGGAGATGACCTTTCCAGTATATTTTATGGAAAAACTGTTCCAGCAAGAAATACCGGTAATTTTCTGAAGTTATCAACATCTTGATACAACTGATTAGAGATAGGACAAAATGCAGATGGCTCTTTTTGGCATACAAAAACCTTTAAATCAAGTGCAAAGAAACAGTCTTTAGTGCTTTTGTTAGTAATTACAAACAAACTGTATGTGGCACACTCTTAATTTTTATAAACAAGCACTTGGGACACTAAGAGTTTCAGGTAAATTTTTGAATGTTGTGAGGTAAACTGTGTTCCAGCTTCTGAAATACAAACACGACTGTTTTCACGAAAGTTGCCAAGCCAAGCTATCCAAGGAATTCATAGAACGATGATGCAGTGTTCTAGCCAGCTTGAAATTTTTTCTGCCATCTCAATTTTTTTATGTACCATATATACATGTACAAGTGCCATAAGGTGAGAGTTGTCTGGGGGGAAAATCGTGAAATCCAGACCTTCTGAAATGCTATTTCCTGCATTTTGATGGGCAAATTTTGCAGGTTCAATAACTCCTCTTTTCATACCTAAATTTACACAACAAATTTCCCGTCAAAGATGATGGATTGGGCAAAACTTTTGTCTGTCATGAGCAGCAAAATATTGTCAAATGATGGAAAGACAGACGCTGGCTTGAACACTGCGATAATGTGTAACACAACCGTGAATACTTTCATCAGGTTGGTAAATCACTGCGTAAAGAGCCTCTTTTTATTGAGGAAGGTGACTGACGGTCAGCGAAACGTTGGCTGAATAAAAGATTTGCTTGTCTAAAAAGAATCTCTTTACTCGATGTGTAACACAAGTTGGAACAAAGTTACCTTAGGTTCACAAAGGAAGGAACTAGAGGCAGAGTCTTTTGTGTCACTTACAGCTTTATGTCCCGCAGTGTTGCAGTGTGCCACCATTTTCTTAGGGCTCCTAAACTGCACCTTGCACAGATGACAGGCGGGCCTAGTGGCCTTCTTGCTTGTCTAACGACAGAAAACAGCAGGCTACAATGTACAGCAACTTTTCTTCTCTTTTCTTACATCAGACAATAAAAGATTTATGGTCTTACACTATGTAGTGACAAATCCAAGGTATTTTTGGCAAGACCTCATAGATGGGGAGCCTTTTTTGGTACCATGATGACAGTCTAAAATTTCTAAAAATTGCATCATGAGCATTTACATTTGGCCATGCATCAAACAAAAATACATGGCTAGGATGTTCTGACGTGAAAACAAAACCAGTGGGCATCAATAACACATTAATTAACATACTCCACATGTCAGTGTAAAGCTACATGTAAGTGGGTAGGGTATTGACTAGAAGAGATCTATGCAGGCATTTACATGTAAGAATGAGCATTTTCATCCTAGGCTTTGGTAGATATTCTCCAGCCAAATGATAAACTGAAAAATCTGTCTTTCACAGAACCCTTTCGGCCCGCATGGCATTGCATTGACACCAACATACATGTAGATAACACTCAATCTAGCCGCGGCGACTGTTGCAGGGCTTCTCTTGCTTGCAGTCTTTTACATTAGCCCTAACAACAGTCGCGGAGCGGTGCATTGGGCCAAATGAACAAACATGCGTTTTACCGTGCCGGAACACTTTGAGACCGAAGTTTGCACGTCCCTAGATTCCTAACAGCCTCACCTAATGTGCCGGGGTGTTTTGTGCGTCAACCGGCCCCTGCGCGACTCGTACCGCCACTATTTGCGATCGCTCCCCATATATTCATAAGCCGAGTGGCCGCCATCTTGGTCAGCCGCGCGCTGAATCAGCTACTTGCAAATGTGCCACTACTTTTCTGATGCATAGAAATAGCTTATCAGAAAAATAGCGGCAAATTTGCCGGCGGCTGATTCCAATCAAAAATGGCTGCCAACTGTTATGTTTTACGTGGGGAGCGATCGCAAATAGTGGCGGCATTTGGCCCAATGCACCGCTCCGCGACTGTTGTTAGGGCTAATGTAAAAGACTGCAAGCAAGAGAAGCCCTGCAACAGTCGCCGCGGCTACACTCAATCATACATTATACATGTACATGTCCGTCGCATTGGATTGGGCATCGCAATTCAATAACACCCAATGTACAAAATTAATGTACATATATATAAAATTCACCCAATCTGGTACACAGTACGACACATCCCATGAATTATTGTCATGTCCAACTACCATACATTGTATCTGCTTACGTAGGCCAATTTTTGTACACTTTATTCCATATATGCGAGACCATATCATCAATACATGACCATATGGTAACTCAAATACTGTTTAGATAGTAGTTTGTAGTAAGTAAAGTTTTGTAGTATTGTTGTATTACTGCCATACATTGTACCTTGTACGATTGTTGAGCAATAAAGTTCATTCATATAACCCTTGAAAAAACAATCTGGCATACAAGTTTGTATAAACTGTAAAATCAATTTTCTAGTACAACCAGCCTTTTCGGGTACTGAAAAGATTAGCATATTTAGGCAAGTAAGAAGAAACAGTCATAGCCCTCTTTCAATACATTGCAGATGTTCAAGGTACCAAATATCTCCATGTACAAGTAACTGTCGTCACATCTGACCCTTTGAAGCTGCTGGCCCCATCCCAACCCATTCCAGGTGAACTGAAGACACCTAACAATATGAACTGTTACATCCATCTTTGTGAAGGTATGTCAGGCATCCTACTGAAGACCCAGTGTCACCACAGAAGTCAAATCAAGTTGTTAATCTACAACTGGCATTGTGCGTATCATCGTCTGTGACAGTGGCACAGTACTGTAAAGGCAGAAACTTTTGTGGTGGTTTTATCTTTGCCGTGACTTTTTACCACAAAATCCTAACACTACAAACAAGAGATCTGAGATCACATACCTCCATGAAATATGGGCTTGACGTGTAAATGTAAATTTCCTCTTTAATTATGCAAATGACCTCCACATTAACATAATTAATGTATCGTGATGTTAACTTTTGATGAATTTACAATTTACACCAAGTAGGAAATTCCCATCATTTACCCATTGAATTTTCGCATTAATTATGCAAATGAGGTCATAATTTGCATTATTGGTATCTGTTGATGTTCCATCTGCCAAAGATTACATACATTACATGTATTAAAGTACTACAATGTAAAACACTGTAATTAGAGAATTTCCTCATTTATTATGCAAATAAAGTCCTCATTTGCATAATTTGCATTAAGTTATGTACATCTCTCTCAGCTACCTACCTACCAAAAATGATGAAAATACATTGTTCCTGTCTGGACCTATTGGCTTTTAAAGATTTTCCCCCGAAAGTCCCCTGCAGTTCCAGAACAAGCTGCTAGGGGGACCATATCTGTCACCCAAAAATCAAGACCATAACATGTTCAGGACAAAAGATACGAAAACCGGAAGTTCTGCTGCAGTACCAAGGTCATCCACCAGGAGGCCCATATTTGACCTTGACCTTTGGCTTCCTAAGACCTACCAGCATACCAAATATCATCACAATCCATAAAGGCGTTATGGAGTTATGCTGACTACAAATATGCGGAAACTCAAACACACACACACGACGCGCCAAAAACAATACCTCCATTTTCATGGAGGTAACTAGATCTCAGTGCCAAAATTACGTCAACACTGGGTGTCCATCCACCCTAACACTCAAATTTTCCACATCATAGCGCACAGAGGTCGCCTTATTCCCTGAGGAAGAACCTCTCATTAATCAAACCAGGTCGTAAGCCCGGGGCAGCCTCGACACAATCAGACATCTGTTACCCTGTCTGGCAGACTCCTCATTAAACCGGAAGTGCTGCTGCAGTACCAAGGCCATCCACCAGGAGGCCCATATTTGACCTTGACCTTCGCCCCCCTAACACCTACCAGTATACCAAATATCACCACAATCCATAAATGCGTTATGGAGTTATGAAGGTACAAAAAAGCGGAAACACAAACACACATACACACACACACACACACACACACACACACACACACACACACACACACACACGCACACAGACGCGCCAAAAACAATACCTTCCATTTCATGGAGGTAATTATGTGTTTTGTACATTGATGAAGGTTTAGACATCCAGGCACTAGGACACACCAAAAAACATTTAATCAAGAATCTTCGAAATCATATCCAATTGCTTGAGTAACTGTCTTTTGGCGTGTTCTACTGTCAGCCTTCTCAAAAAAAATTAGAGTAGGTGGCTGATAAAAATCGTAACAATTAGACCCCTAAACATCGTTTTTGGTACAATCTGAGCAACTTTTATGGCAATCTTATGACTCCAAAATTTACTGCTGATGCACAAATAATTCTGGAAAAAGTCTGAAAGGGGGAAGCTATTGCATTTTGTCTTTTCTGAACACAAATGGAGGTCATTTCCTGCAACTTCAGTTCTACATTTTTTTGTCTGTATGACAGAATTTTTCCAACCGCACTTTAAACACTGCAAAAACCTCCTTTTCCCTCCTACTGTGAAATTAAAACCTCCTTAAACTGGAAAATAAAACCACAGAAAAGGTGTGTTTTTTTGTTTGGTACATTTTTTTTGCACACTGTAAGTGCATTTACAGTAACTGGTTGGCTCCACCATTCTTCTTGATTTAAGAGAAGTCCATGGTTACAAAGTTGGAATTTATGACGCTGTTTTTGTCACCTGATAACCTTGTGTCTTGACCTGACAAATACAGTTGGATCAATTTTAAAACTTGCCCAGTATATTCTGATTTAGTACAAATAATCATGTCTAAAAGGAAGTCTAGATTTTAGTTTATATTCAAGTTTAAACACAAATTATAGCATTCCAACATGAAAACTGACTACCCTAAAGAATATATACACATCTGAGTTTACCATAGTTTTAGTCTGTTAGTCTCAGCGTAGCCAGAACTTAGAAGAGTGGGGCTTCAAAGAGGGCCTTCATTCCCTTTTTCGTAAGGCGTAATCAGGCCTTTTTAGTCTTTGTAATCCGTAGGAAGCCTTCCCAAAAATTAACGTAAGTCGTAATAGTACATTAGCTGCAAAGCGTAATGTCGTAATCAGCTCTGAGACTTTTACGTAATTCGTAATCGGCAGCAAAAATTTAGCGTAATTTGTAATCACTACCCCCCATGCAGGCCCTCCTGTTAGTCTCAACATAGCCAGAACTTAGTAGAGTTGGACTTCAAATACATGTAGTCAAAGAGAGACTATCTATTCATGTCTAGCTTGTTTGCTTCCCAATGGCTGCTATCTTTGCGAACTTGGCAACAGTTGGGATTTAGCGGACAAAAGATAGAAAGGGATGGGTACCAGGCCAGGAGAATTTACGAGGAACGATGAACTGGAGTCATGTAACAAAACTTGCCTCCTCCATCAGTTGATGCATTCCAGCTGAGACTATTATAGGAGGAAAAGTGTTTGGAAAGACCTAGACCGGTAGTAACATGCTAATGGCACGTAAAATGACCCTTAAAATCCATTTAAGTGGACAATGTCGCTTTTATCTTTTTTATATGATTCAAGTTAAAATGTCATAATCAGAGTGTTTGTTGAGAAATCTTGTGATAGTTGATAACAAAATATATGTGGAGCTTGAAAGTGACATAGTAGTCATACAATCTTTTATGTAGTATTTACATGAAACAAAAAATGTTTTATAATACACCAGAAAGCAGACACGAGGGACCAAATACAGCCTACATTAAATTGAAGATAACAACTTTGTGGGAGGCTTTGTGCCTAAAAACGTTTTAGGGGGTTGATACAGATGCAAGAAGTTATTGAGACGAAAATAAAGTTGTCAGTTGATCCTGTCAAAAGAGTTTAAATAGTGCTGCATGCAAAACCTTTGTACCAAGGTGACCTTGATCAGGTTTCATCTGGAAACTAGAGAAGTAACATTTGCAAAGCAAATGCATAATGTTTACCTTCGGACATGGTCTGCTCTGTTAATTCTTAAACACATTCACATACATGTACTACTACTACTACTATATGGTGACAGGAGCAGAGCAGACCATGAAATTGCAACATTATGTAACCAAACACCAGTCACCATGGTGACAGGCGTCAACAAATTATGTCATTGGCCAGGACAGAGGTCACTGTTTGGAGAAGAAGAAGAAGAAGAAAAGGAAGAAACTGAGCAAAAACAATATGTTTTCCTTCGGTGAACATAACAAGAACAGGCAGTCTTTGAAACTGCCATGTGAGACCCACCTTATGGTCCTTGGTGCGTCTGTGCTCTATGACTGGTCCATAGAAGTGGATTTTGCAGGTGTCACACCAGCGTTTTTCCAGCTTGGTGCTCGGCTTTCTCTGGTTACTGCTGTACAAGAAATATCACCTGTCAGGGTCTTGTTTCTATTACGTGCTATGGCTACCAAACACTAAACAAGCATTGTGGAACCAAAAACAATATTCAAAGTAACTTTACACACCATGATATTTATTTATATTCCTGAAGGATTAAACCTACATGAACTATCTCTTTGACAGGTCCTACTAGTACTGAAGAGCCCCAAGAGAGTGGAATGTAAAATAAACTGGTAGTCTCTGCATGCAGCTGAAGTCTTCTTGTTACCTTCGCCAAGAAGGTTATGTTTTCAGTAGTTGTGTGTGTGCTTGTGTGTGTGTGCACGCGCGTCACGTGTGTGGTTTAGCAAGATAACTCAAGAACAGTTGGAAGTATTGTCATGAAACTTGGTAGGTGGGTAGGTGTTGATGAGACCTAGAAATGATTAGATTTTGAGCCCCCTGGTGGCTTGTTACGGTACTGCAGCAGATGTTGTTCTGCCTTCATCTTAGATCAGGCACCTTTATCACTCACCTTTTCCCACTGCTTAGGCTACTATGCCTCCCTGATCCTGAGCTGATGTAGACCCCAGTCCCTGCCCCTCTATCTTACGGCGATGTTGTTCTGCCTTCATCCTGGCCTGTGTTTTTTTATCAGTCTTCTCCATCACTCACCTTTTCCCACTGCTCAGGCTACTATGCCTCCCTGATCCAGAGCCTGATGTAGACCCCAGTCCCTGCCCCTCT